CAGCGGTTCGAGTCCAGCCCGAGCTGAGCAGCCACTGAGCTGCCAACAGGTAGCAGGATGGCTCAGCTAAAAAAAAAAAAAAAAAAAGAGGTTTCCATAGGAAAGAGGAGTCAAAAGTTAGTTTATTTGGGAGAGGGAAAAAATGGGTGGTGATGGTGATAATGAATGGGAGGATAATGATGAAAGCTCTAGAGCGCAAGACTACTCCTTCAAGAATGTAGTGCTGAGAGTCACAAAAGGAATTTGTCCCCTTTAGGACTTGATCATAATTCTTGGCAGAAGAGCATACTATTGTAGTAAAGGACTGATCGAAAATGTAGAAGCAGTAAGGTTTTGAGGAGGCAGGAAATGTTGGGATTAAAAAGCAATGGTCTTGAGGGGTTAACATTGGAATAGAAGAAAGGCCGTCAGGAGGGGTATGAGAGATGTGATGAATCAGGTTTTAATTAGAAAGTGGGGGAGTTCTCCAGGTAGCCTTGCTTTTCTCACTCAATTAAAGGCTGAGATGCTTTATCTCAAACACATTTAAACAAAGCCTGCTGAGATGCTTAAGAAGCTGGGAAAGGAAAGGATAGAGGTGGTTGGGGTAGAATGTTACATGGCCTCATAAGGCTGGGTTCAAGTCTCAGGTGTATTACCTTAGGCTGGCCACCAGACTTCTTTGAGGAGTTGTTAAAAGAGTAAATGAGATAACACACGTGTAAATTATAAAGCACTTTTTAAACAGGAGAAGCTTGGAACACTTACCACGGGAAACATGAGAGCATGAATGAGATGAAACAAGGCATCACCGAGCATCAGGGAGGGCTGAGGTCAAGTGCAGAGCAAGAATATATAGCAAGCCCAGGCCTGCACAGTTCTTGTCACTCATCCCAGCACACTGGAGTGGATAAGGCAGATTCTGAACGAGGGCCCGTGTGGAGAGGACAAGCTGGAGAACTCGAGGTAAGGACTAGTTTAAGACCTTTGCAGGCATGCTGACTTTTGGAAACCCCATGTGATTTTTATATAAAAGTGGCATTTGACTCATTGACACATGTATTTTGGAAATGTCTAAACATATCAATGTATTTTGGAAATGGTTAACCTTTTTTGTAAATCGTTTTTCATATGTGGCGGTCGACAAGTTTTGGGTTGTTGTGTTTTTTTTTTTCAGATTTCTTTATTTTTTAAAGCTCAGGCTATAGGCACCGTGCCTATAGTATGAAATGGATTAGGAAGGCATCAATGAAGCAGCTGCCCACTGGGTCCGAATCAAGTAGGGAAGGTTATGAACAAAGCAAGCGGTGAGAAAATCGAGCACAGCAGACAGGAGTAAGCAGCTGGAGATAATGAGAACAGTGTAGGGTTAGGAGCTAAGTGGTACCATTTCTGAAATTTGGGATCCCAAGCCGAACCAGGAAACTCCTGGGAAAAACGCTTGAAAAAGGAGACATACATTATAAACGGGGCCCAATGTGTTCCCTCCTTGACATCTGCCACCAGCCCATTGTGACCAGTCACGGGCCCTCCTTGATTCACTGATAAAAACGGCGGGACAAACCTGCTCCGTTTCTGTTACGTATAACTGTCGAGTTCTGGGTGACAACCCATGAGGTCATCTGCACCCCTTGCCCCGTTGGGTGAAACAGCGGCTTCTCCAACCCCAGGGAATCGGGAGCTCCCTGATTCTGGCCAAACGAAGGTCTCCATGGCGGCCCTCGGTTCAAAGGGGCCCAGAAACAGGCCCTCAGGGGCCCATAGCCCCGGGAAATGCCACGAGCGGACGAGCCGCCTAAGTCCCGTGGCCAACACGCTAAGCCTGCGGCCTTCCAGAGCTAATAAACTGGGAGACAATTCCCAGCATGCCGTGGGCTGAGCTCGGGCCAACTGACAGCGCCACCCACGAATGGGAGAGCCCGGTCTGGGTTCGTGGGCCCAATCCGAGGGCGGGAAGGAGGTCGTCCCCGAGGCATCAGCGCGGCTTTATAAGTAGTCCTCTGGCCTCTCGGGTCGCCACAGAGATAAGGAGAGGGACAGTCCTCGTAAAATGGTGACGCTGACTATACTATGCCGCTCACTCTCCGCCTGGTTCTTTCCCTCCCAGCGAGCCCCACGTCCAGCCCTTACTTTGGTTCCCCCCCCCTCCCAGCCTGAGTGGACGGGCGATGCGGGATTTCCAGAGCTTATTGGATGCTGGTGGTGTCACTCTGGAGGGCCCAGCGGCGAGGCCCGCCCCTCTCGGGCGGCGATTGGGCTCGCTTGGGCACCTGGGCTGGGATTGGTGCGGCTGGAGCCTTTCGGCTTTTAGGGCCGAGACCTGGGGAGGCGCTGGCAACCGAGGACTCGGCGGGGACTCGCAGCGTTCTCTCCTGCCGCGTACCCTCCCGAAGGGCCGGGTCGAGGGAAGGAGCGGGAGGCCCTCCTACCTCATCACGGGGGGACGAGGGGGCGCTTGTCGCGTGTCGGGCGCGGGGCCAGTGGGGCGGGCGGAGGGGGGGGTGGTAGTGGAGGGCGTGAGAGGTGCAGGGGTCCAGGAGGTGGCAACAGGAATAGCTGGAACCTGGACCTGGAAACGCTTCTGGGAGGGGTTGGGGGCCGAGGAGGGTGTGGTCGTGTCTGGTATGGGATGCTGTGGCCAGGAGCGGGCGCTCCTGGGCAGATCTGTGGGTGGTTCCTTTGAGGAATCCTCTTTTTCCCCCTTGCCCTTTGATTTGCTGAAGAGAGAGTCCTCATGGTCTCTGTCCAAGTTCTGGAAACCTTCTCTTTGGGTGGGCTTAATCACCTACGACGTCATTGTAGAACTGCCCGGGGCCTCTTCTGATACTGGGTACAAACGTGGGGACTATGTCAGAAAAGAGAAAGCCGCCGCTGGGCTTCGTGGGCAAACTCCCCAGTGGGACTGCCCTTGGGAACTCAGGCAAGACGCACTGCCCTTCGTGCATGGGGCTGTTCAAAGCCCCCAGGCTCTTGCCATGTTTGCACACAGTTTGCACCACGTGTCTGGAGCAGCTGGAACCCTTCTCAGTAGTGGACATCCGAGGGGGAGACTCTGACACAAGTTCTGAGGGGCCAATATTCCAGGAACTCGAGGCACAGAGCCTGCAGCCGCAGATCGGCATCCTGTGTCCGGTGTGTGACGCTCAGGTGGACCTGCCCACGGGTGGAGTGAAGGCTTTAACCATAGACCACCTGGCCATGAATGATGTGATGCTGGAGAGCCTGCCTGGGGAAAGCCAGGGCCTGGTGTGTGACCTGTGCGGCGACAGGGAAGTGGAGAAGAGGTGTCAGATCTGCAAAGCCAATCTCTGCCACTTCTGCTGCCAGGCTCATAGGTAACGATGGGATACCCCACCTGGTGTGGCTTAGAAGCAGAGTACAAAGAAGGGTCGAGACAGAGAAATCCCTTGGGGAGCAGATGGAAAGGAAAGCTTTCTCAAATGCCACGGAAGGTCAAAGACTAAACTAGGATGTGATCGCGAATACTCTAGAATGGTAGTTAACTCCTGATGCCTTATATAATACCATAGTAATAACAGCACCGAAGGTTTGCCTAGTCCTTTCCAGTTTACAAAGCACACTCACAGCGATCTTGGATCATCAATCGTTTGTATAGTGAATAATTGTACTAGATGCTGAAGAAGCAGGAGAATGAATAGAATAGCATTACCCCTGCCTCAATCTCATTTGATCCTTGCACCTTTTATAGGAAAGTAGGCACTGTTTTCACCCCTATTTATTATTTGAGGAAATAAGCACAGTAATATGTAATTTGCCGCAGTCTCACACTTGATAAGTAGTGTGTAACAGAATCAAATTTTAAATCCAGATCTTACTGCATTCTGTGCTCTTTCTAACCCATGCGGCCTTCCCGTGTACCAGTGTACAGCACCAGTGTGAGGGGCTGACTGGCAGGCCCCCACCTCAGCCTTTGCCTTGTACCCTAGTTCCTTGGGGACTTGGTGCTCACTGGGGTGCAGATTGTGTCTTTTGTGGCATTTGGTGCATAGTTTGTCATCTGAAGTTCTCTTTGTTTCTTCTCAGCCCTCTTCCCCATTCCAGGACATCAGAATACAAAATGGCCAAAGTTCTAGGATTAGCCTTCAGTAATTTTTTTAAGTCCTGCCTTCCGTTTTTCTCTGGCCTCTCCAACAGAACAAGTTAGTAGTCTTCAGTCTGTTTTTAACTGGTAATTGTCACTGCCTCGCTGCCAGCTAAACAGCTGCCCCTGTCTTCTCATCAGCCACTCTTCTGGTACCAGAACAGACATATAAGCTTCAAGTTGCTGTAACAGTCACCGGGAGTTCCTAGGGATTCCCCTGAATCTCTAAAAGGCTACAGAAAGGAGGAATTAAAAAGAGCTTTGATTCTACTGACCATTTCACTCTAATACTGTTGATGACTCTTGTTGGGGACATTTCTAGCTTGCTGCTCTGGGTGATGTAGACACAGGCCAAAGGAAATGCTCTACCCAAACCTTAGATGAAAGCTGAGGGAGACTTTTTGTCGGGGCCAGCTAGCTGCTTTTCAGTTGCCTGGGGTTGACTGCCGTGCCATGTGGCACAGATTGCTCTTGGTGCTGGGTTTTCACCTTGCTCTTACCTCTAGCTCGCTGGAGCAGTAGGCTGTGGCTCTTGTCTAAACTTGCCAAATGAACTCATTGGGGAAAAGTTCTAGGAGGTGGCCTTAGTGTTGCAACCTTTTGCAAAGTCATGTCCTAAGCCAGGGAACCCTAGTTTACTATCATTTATTCTGTTCAACAGCCCCTGCAGGTAGGTACTGTCCCCACTGTACAGGTGAGGAACTGGAATCACAGAGGATCATGTAGTTAGTAAGAGGTTAGCGCAAGGAGAACTGAACTTGGGTTTGACTTCAGAGCCCATGCTCTGAAAAGGCCGGACGTTTCCCAACCAGAATGGTTCCCTAATTTCCTGTTCCTGACTCCGCTTGCCCCTAGGCGGCAGAAGAAAACAGCTCACCACACCATGGTGGACCTGAAGGGCTACAGCCGGATAGGGAAAGCCATCCTGTGTCCTGCTCACCCTGCGGAGGAGCTCAGGCTGTTCTGTGAGCTGTGTGACCGGCCCGTGTGCCGGGACTGCGTGGTGGGGGAACACCGCGAGCACCCCTGTGACTTCACCAGCAATGTGATCCACAAGCACGGGGACTCCGTACGGGAGCTCCTCAGAGGCACCCAGCCCCACGTGGAGGCCCTGGAGGGAGCCCTGGCCCAGATCAGAGAGACACACAGGGCCCTCCAGGAGCGAGTGGAGGCCGTGGCAGCCGATGTCCGAACATTCTCGGAGGGCTACATCAAGGCCATCGAGGAGCATCGGGACAGGCTGCTGAAGCAGCTGGAAGATATCCAGGTCCAGAAAGAGAACGCCCTGCAGCTGCAGAAGGCACAGCTGGAACAGCTGCTGGCGGACATGCGGACTGGAGTGGAGTTCACTGAGCACCTGCTGACCAGTGGCTCGGACCTGGAGATCCTCATCACCAAGGGGGTGGTGGTGGAGCGGCTCACCAAGCTGAACCAGGTCGGGTACAGCGCCCGTCCCGGCGTCAACGACAGGATACGCTTCTCCCCTCGGGAGAAAGCAGGCCGGTGCCGTGGCTATGAAGTCTATGGGGCCATCAGCACCCAAGAGGTCGACCCGGCCAAGTGCGTCCTTCAAGGAGAAGGTAGGAAGGTGCTGCCTGTTGGAGGTGAGGGGACAGCAGACAGGGACACAGTGTGTAAAGATGTGTGGCTTTTTCAGCTAGGAAGAGCTCCTACTGACCAGCTTACCAAAGGAGAGAGACAGCGATCTCAAGTAAAGGACAGTGACCCCTCCCTTGCCCTTTTCCGATTTCTCTGGTCAGGATAGTTACTGTCCCTTACAGGGGTGAAGCTGAGAAGTGTAGTCACTGCCAAGGAGCTGTTTCTATCCGATGAGAAAGCAGAGACAGTGCCCAGAGGCTAACAGCAGACTGCAGGGCTAGGCAAAACCCCGGGTGCTCAAGAGGGAGCCTGGGAGGCCCCAGACGGCCTGGACCAAGTTCCGAAGAGAAGACCGTGCTGTACTCTCTTCTGTGCCCATTTTGGCTCGTGCAGGCCACATATTACGGCCATTTAAAAGAATATGGCAGGCGTGTCATTCAGTAGGGGGGGAAACCATTTCATTTGACCACAGTGTTCTATTCCTAAAGGAAGCATATTATACAAACATGTATTTCACCGACCAGTCCTGCCTGACAGGAAGATTGTATCCTAGAGTCCTCCCAACTCTGGCACAGGCATTGGTAACTGGAGGTCTCAGATCCCTCTGAGAACGATCTCCCCCCAAGGAACACCCGCTCTCTTAGGCATACAATTTCAGATCCTTAGACCATACACCTCTCCGTAGACCTCACAGTAAGTAGTTCATGAGCCCTCGAACAGGCTAAGAAGCCCTGTTTCGTGTGACTGCTGGACTAGGCTGTAGCTACTGAGTAACCCCCAGCATCCTGGCAGGAGCTGCCACTCTGCAGAGGTCCTCACAGCACGAAGGGTCTGAGCTGGTCAGCTGTACCCCCATCTATCCAGCAGGATCTGTGCTCAGAGAGGGTAGGGTGGGGTTGACCAGCCTCTCTCACAGGGTCTAGAGGCTCTCTTCTCTAATTACTGAGGTCAATCCTGAGTCTTTTCAGAGCTCCCTTAGGGCTGAAGTGCAGGTCCAGGATCCTGTGTGATCCAAGAGCAGCTGCTGGCTGAGACAACCAGGCTCACGAAGAGGGCTTCCCAGAGGCAAGCTCAGGGAGACAGACGGGAGGAGAAAAGCAAGGGAGCAGGGCGATCACAGTAAACAGGAAGCACAGCCTCCTGTTCTAAAGAGAAAAAGCAAGATGGCACCTGCTCTGGGCGCAGTCGCTGCAGCTGGCCTTCGAGGTGAGGGCTGTGTTTATCGTCTGCAGATCTCCAAAAAGCCCGGGAGAAACAGACCGCCTCTTTCACCCTGTTCTGCAAGGACGCAGCGGGAGAGAGCATGGGCAGGGGAGGAGACGACATTCGCGTCACCGTGGTCCCTAACGATAAGAAAGACAGGTTTGTACCACACAGTCAGGTGTGCTTGGTAAAAAGCGGTGATGAAACTGGACCCTTGAGGTCCTTTGCAATAACAGTGGATGTGAACTGCTGCAGTTACCGCCTGCTTCCCCGCGATGCTATTAAAAGTGTGATCGGACCAGCTGGACCAGATGTGTTTTCTCACGTGGGTTTTATGCCTATATTCAATTTTTTCCCAAAGGTCTGATCTGCCCCTCAGATTGTCTTCACCCCAAGCTTTGAAAAGACTGAAAAATATTCTATATTAGACCGAATGGGGCCCTTCTCAAAATTCAGCCCCACTTGGCTACTAAACTGTGCTAGACGTAGAATTATGACCCTGGTACTAGAGGAGGGAGGTGGGAGGACAGCGAGAAGGAGGGGACGATGGAAGCTGGTCGAAGAACACAGTAACGTTTTTTGGGGAAGTCATCTGTACATCGGATTAAATTAGCATTTAAGTTGCTTCCCTTCTGTTGTGAAATTAATTTCCGAGAAGTAGAAGAAGCATCTGCTTGAGATTGAATTTAAAATTAAGATTGCATTTAATGGTGTCGAGTTTACGTCCTCAGAATGTGGGCAGCTGGGGCAGGATTGTGACAGTGAATGGCTTCTCTGAACTCTCATCTCCGTGCAGCCCAGTGAGAACGACGGTGCAAGATAACAAGGACGGGACGTACTACGTCTCCTACACCCCCAAGGAGCCTGGCGTCTACACTGTTCTGGTCTGCGTCAAGGAACAGCACGTGCAGGTAAGACCTGTGCCTGTGCTTCCCTGAGCCCCTCCCACTGGCCCCCCGGGTTCCGACACCTCAGGATGTGGAGATGTTTCTCATGGGGTCAGCTGTATACAGGGACTGAATGGGATTCTCTTCTTTCTTCCTTCCCTTCACTTTAGAAATGGCCCAGGGGCCGGCCGAGTGGCTCAGTTGGTTAAGAGTTGGCTTAAGAACACGAGCTCTGAGCAACAGGGCCGCCGGTTTGATTCCCACATGGGCCGGTGACGCTGCACCTGAGCTGAGCTGCCGCTGAGCTGCCTACAGGTGGCAGGATGGCTCAGCTGGTGAGAGCACATGCTCCTAACAAGATTGCCTGTTCGATGGTGGGCTGTGCCCGCCCGCAACTGAGACTGAACTCAGCACCTTGAGCTGAGCTGCCGCCCGGATGGCTCAGTGGATAGAGCATGTGCTCTTAACAACAAGACTGCCGGTTCAACTCCCGCATGGGATGGGGGCTACACCCACCCACAACTAAGATTGTAACATAGCACCTTGAGCTTAGAGGCCACGAGCTGCCGATGGGCAGCCTCCACAACTAAGCTTAAAGAACAACAACTTGGCTGGTCCCCTTCCCCAATTTCCCAAAACTGTTCCCCTCCCCCAGTTTCCCAATTAAAAAATAATAATAATAAATAAATAAATAAAATAAGGCATTCGTGAAAAACTCACACACACACACACAAAGAAATGGCCCAGATTTGGCAACTCTTATTCTTACTAGAGGATGCTGCTGGCCACTAGAGCTCTCTGACTCTATTTCACCTCCTGGCAGTTGCACTTGTATTTTATCGTTCTCCCAGTTGACTCGTTGGAATTCTTAATTTGGAAAAGATGCCTTAATCACAGGGGGCAGTCTACCAGCAGACAAAAATACACATTCAAAAAATAGAACCTAGGGCCGGCCGAGTGGCGCGTTGGTTAAGAGCTGGCTTGGGATGCCAGAAGGCCCCGGTTCGGATCCCACATGAGGGCCAGTGACACTGCCCTCTACAGCTAAAAGCTGAACAACAGCTCAACCTGGAGCTGGGCTGCCCGTGAGTCGCCAGCGACAGTGTAGGCCGCAGCCCCTGCTGCAGTGGGTTGCCATGGGCTACTGTGTGTAGCCAGCAGCCAGCGTGAGCGGCCAGCAGCTGCTGTGAGCGGCCATCCAGAAGCTGGCGACTGACCTGCCTCGCCCAGGAGGAGTGCAATGATGGTGCCAACTTGGGCCAGTGAAGCAACGTCCTCCACAACTAGCCTGAAGAACAAAAAGACAGCAACTTGTCTGTTTCCCTTCCCCCAATTCCCCAGCACTGTTCCCATCCCCCCAATTCCCCAATAAAAATCTTTAAAAAAAAAAACAGAACCTAGCTCAGGGTTTTCCAGCGTTGTTCGGACTATGACACAGTGGGCGTCCTGGGACACAACTGGGCGAGTTACGCCCTCTTCCTTCAATTGCCCCGCCATCGACCTGCCCACCCACCTGCCCGTGCAGCCCCCTACTGTTTACCTATATGCTTTTCTGTTACCATGCTTACGACACCACCGCCACAGACAAGTACAACCCTTTCTGGTTAGACTGAATTTTTAAAAATCAGGTCATACTCAACATGTTCAGCAGAATCTGTGACGTTTGAGTAGCCAGAGGTTTCCTGCAACCAGAAATCAACACTGACAGGGACAAAATACCCAGTGTTGTGATATACCGTGTTTCCCCGAAAATAAGACCGGGTCTTATAGTAATTTTTGCTCCAACAATCTACATTTATTCATTTATTCATGTACAAAAATCCACATTTATTCAAACAGTCATGTCTGGCTGATGATCTTAACTGGGGCTTATTTTGGGGTAGGGCTTATATTACGAGCATCCTGAAAAATCATGCTAGGGCTTATTTTCCGGTTAGGTCTTATTTTCGGGGAAACACGGTATTAGGCTTATGGTCTGGGCTCCAGGAAGACTCAGATTCTGAGCCACTTGTTGCCTAACTGCACCCCCTGGAGTGGGCGAGGTGTTCGCATAATTGTTTCACTTTTCTTCCAAACCATTCAGGCGCAGAGATCCTCATGTATTTAGACTGAGAAACCAAACTTTTTCGAATGCACAGTACCTGCATGGCAAAATCAGAACCTGACCCCACTTCTGTGAACTCCAAGTTGTTTTTAGGATAGTCTGTAAACTCTTTAAAGGAGATTTAACATTTGGAAGCCTTCTGAGGTGCCGGACTTGCCTTTCGCAGACTGCATGGGTCTTACACAGGGACACGTATTGTTTAACGAAGGTTAGGAATTGGAGAAGGGAAGTTCTCCTTGAAGGAAAGGGGGCAGGTAGGAGAGTTTCTAATGGGAGACTTATTAACCACACACCCTTAACCTTTCTCCCGTGCACATCCCTTCACCATCCCAGAGTAAGTGGCTGGGTAAACGGGTGGAAAGGAAGGAGGTAGCTCAGCGCAAGGGGAATATGTGTGTCTGAGAAACTGGAGTAAGGACCACAGGACGTCCTAGCCTGGTGGTTAAGATGCTCTACCAATTACCCAAGATTCCTCAAGAACGGAGAAGACAGAAGCGGAAGTCAGTGACATGAGAGCAGGTTGGGTTTACGAGTGTTATCAGGTGGCCCCCGTGCCAGCGGGCAGCACCGACTCCCTGACTGGCACTGCATGTCTCCGGCCCACCCAGCCAAGCACCCAGCTGGTTATTCGCCCCCAGCCTCTGTGCCCCCACTGCTGTCCATGTCCCTCTAAGAGCAGGCACTGTGACTGTCCCTCCGTTTAGCACCTGTGATGCTCAACACGTCCCTGTTGACTCATAAGGCGCTGTTCTTTGCTCTTGGTCTGAACACTGAAGGGCTCACCATTCACCGTGACCGTGAGGAAAAGGCACCGCTCACACCCGGGCGTGTTTCACTGCTGCACGTTCTGCTCCAGTGGAGGCCAGAAAACTGCTCGCTGTGCCTGTGGAGGCACCATGCCAGGTGAGAGGGGGGCCAGGCGCTCTCCAAAGTCCTTCCCCGCTGGGCCTGTCTCCGAGCAGCACACAGCCACTAGGTTCAGGGTGTTCAGACTCAGGCTTTGCTTCTAGAACATGGCCTGTGCATATAAACATCACAGTTCTAAAAGCCCTGTTTACAGCTTCTTTGTTGTTCTGAAAATTGAAATAGCAAGCTTCAAAGTTCTGGGCTCTTGTAGTTTTGATCCAGGTCCCCAGTCCCACGAGCCCTGGGTGTCTCCCCAGTTACTCGGTTTCCGTCTCTACCTTTCCCAGCATCCTGGCAGTATAAAAAACGTTAACCCATCCAGTTCCTTTTAAAAGGTTAAAGACGTTCCAAACAAGGCACGGATGGGGGAGCGGATGATTAAACCACCTGAACCAGGTCAGGCTCTTCTCTCAGCTCAGGCAAGAGATCTAATTTTTTCCAACTACTCTGTTGTGTCCTTGCTTGCTCTAAAGGAGGCCTTAAGACAGGGTTTCGCACCCTTGGGTGTAAACCTTTCAGGATCTACCTTCTTTTTTATTTTCCCTTCTCTAACTCTTTTATTTCAGTTAAAAGTCCAAACCAGTTCATCTCCTTGTTACCAGGGTGTTAAAATAACACACTTCTCAGAACTGCAGCTAACCTTAATTGATTTGCTGTCATCAGTCCTGGGCATCCTCCTAACTGCAGAGGCGTCCGGTAGCCTGTTCCTCTTGCCAGGTTTTGTGTTAGATGTTCTCACATCGGTGAGTCAGAATGGTGCCAGAGGTTGTTTCCACGATAACTGCTGATGGTGCTTTTCCCTCTTCTGTGTACCACGCAGGTGGGTACCTAGGCTGCGGCCACGGACACAGAGGCCACCCAGGTCGTCCCCACTGGTCATGCTGTGGGAAGTTTACCGAGAAGTCGGAATGTACGTGGACGGGTGGGCCGAGCACAGCAAGGAGTCTGCTCAGGACCGTGGCGCTCTGACGTGTCCTGGGCCAGCCTATGAAGCTGCAGCCAGCACAGCCTCAGATTCCCAGAGGACCCCAGACCCCGATTAATCTTCAAGAAACTGACAGAATTAAAAACAAAGTGCCTTAGCTGTACTCTCGGGTTCAAGTAATTTTTGTGAGTCATTCACTGTGCGGACAGCTGAGCCCGAGAGACCACCCCTGGATTCTTTCTCTTGACGATCGGTTGACAGTGTTTTCTCCACCAGGGGAGGCCGCCTGCTGCCTTGTACAGGTATGGAGGTACTTGTGCCGCTGAAACAGAGATCACGGGAGCAGTCTGGCTCCTTTTTGATAATTAACCTTTTTGATTTCTCCCTGAGCTGCATGTTAGGTATTTTCCTCAGAAATAAAAACCCCTCTATCATGTCCACTTTTCACTAGCACACTTTACATGGATTATACTGTGATCTTGCTGTTTAGGTGGAGGCCCCCCTCTCCCCACTCTGTGCCATGTTCACCTTATACCGCCCCCCAGAGCCTAGAATACTATTTGGTAAGGGCGCACAAGGAGTAGGTCAATGAAGGGGAATGATGTTGAAATAGAAGCTCAGAAATTCACTGCAGTTCATCTCACGCCAGGTAATCGAGGTACCCTCATCCTCCTCACATCTCTCAATGCTCTTTGAAAAATTAAAAAATAAAAATAAAAAACAAAGGACTTTAAGGGCCGACCGAGTGGCTCAGTTGGTTAAGAGCTCGCTCAAGAGTTTGAGCTCTGAGCAACAGCGGTTCGAGTCCAGCCCGAGCTGAGCAGCCGCTGAGCTGCCAATAGGTAGCAGGATGGCTCAGCTAAAAAAAAAAAAAAAAAAAAAAAAAAAAAGGACTTTATTGGGGAACAGTGTGTTTTTCCAGAACCCATCAGCTCCAAGTCAGGTAGTTGTTTCAATCTAGTTGTGGGGGGCGCAGCTCAGTGGCCCCTGGGGGGATCGAACCAGCAACCTTGGTTATAAGCGTGCACTCTAGCCACCTGAGCTAACTGGCTGCCCCGCTGTTTGTTTTTCAGAGTACTCTTCATGTTTGTCTGTACACTAGGAAGTTAACTAGAAGCTCTGACTCCTAGAGCATGGCTGCCTAGCTGTTAAGACTCTACAGCAGCGGTTCTCAACCTGTGGGTTGCGACCCCTTTGGGGGTTGAACGACCCTTTCACAGGGGTCGCCTAAGACCATCGGAAAACAAAAAGATATTTACAATTCATAACAGTAGCAAAATTACAGTTATAGAGTAGCAACGAAAATAATTTTATGGTTGGGGGTCACCACAACATGAGGAACTGTATTAAGGGGTCGCGGCATTAGGAAGGTTGAGAACCGCTGCTCTACAGAGAACTCCTGGGGGAGGAAGGACACAGCTGATCACATTCCCCTCCCATGAAACATTCGCTTTTCGGTTTTTGTGGCATCACTCTTCTTCTATCTCATTGACTTTTCCTTCTGTCTTCTTTGCCAGTTCCTCTTCACCTCTCTCTCCAGTCTCTGCACATTGCAGAGCCCCAAGGATCAGTTCTTGCATTACTGTTTCTTCCCAGTTCGTAGATCAGGGATCGGCAAACTTTTGAGACAGAAGAGCTAATCCTGTCCGTCACAACAATTTAAAAATTATTTGAGAGCCATAAAACAAATGAAATCACCATTATGTGAATAATATCCTTTAAAAATTTTATAAATGAAACTATGATATTTTATTTTCATTTTCAATTTTGCTTCAGAGCCACATGTACGTCCCCAAAGAGCCGCATGTGGCTCGCGAGCTACAGTTTGCCGACCCCTGGTGTAGATGATCCCATCCTCTTGTGACTTTAAATACCATTTATATACTGATGACTCCCAAATTTATCTCCAGCTCCAAATCCCAAAGGATTATATCCAATACTTGATTTAACAGCTCCACTTGAGTATATCACAGGCATCTCAAATTTAAAATGCCCAAACAGAGGGCGGCCGGGTGGCTCAGTTGGTTAGGGCATGTGCTTTGAACAAGGTTGCTGGTTCGATTCCCAAATGGGCCAGTGAGCTGCGCCCTCCACAACTAGATTGAAGACAACAACCTGACTTTGAGCTGATGGGTCCTGGAGAAAACACACTGTAAACCAATAAAAAATAAATAAATAAAAAATAATAAAATAAAATGTCCAAACAACTCGCAATTTTCAACTCTCACTGTCCACCTGCCTGTGCCACCAAACTATTTCTTCTGCAGCCTTCTCCATCTCCTAAGGGAAGTCCAAACCACCCTTACAGGTGCTGGAGTCAAGTCTGGGGAACATCCTGGACTCCCCTCTCATGCACCACATCCAATCCATTGGCGGATCCTGTCAGCCATCCCTGCAAAGCACACCTGCGGGGCTCTGCTCTCACCTCCACGGCTACCACCCCGGCCGGCCTCAGAAATCAAGACTCCGCACCTGGAGTCTGCCTTCTAACTTGTCTCTCTGCGTCCACCCTTCCCCTCCTGTGTTCTCTTCTCCACTCACCAGTCAGAGGGGTCCTTTGAAAACACCGCAGCAAAGGAAGAAGACAAACACACAAAAACCCATCGATACAGACAACAGTTTAGTGGTTACCAGAGGGTAAGGGTGGGGGGGATGGTAAAAGGCGGTCAAACATACGGTGATGGAAGGAGAACTGACTCTGGATGGTGAGCACACAATGTGATATATAGATGTTGTATTATAGAATTGTACACTTGAAACCTATGTAATTTTACAAACCATTGTCACCCCAATAAAATTAAAAAAAAAAAAACCACCTCAGATCACGTCACTCTTCTGCTTAACACCTTCCAATGGCCTCCCATCTTACTCAGGACAAAGCCAGTCTTTACATCAGCATGTAAGACCCTGTGTCACCTGGATCCCTGCTCTTCTCTCATTTCCTACCCATCTCCCCAATCACACTATTCTAGCCAAACTGACGTGCCTGGGGCTCCTCAAAATCCCCAAGTCCTCTCTGTCTATGGCCTTCTCACAGATACCTACACAGTTCACTCATTTTCCCCAGGCTTCTGCTCCCATGTCACATGTCTCACTGGAGAGGTCCCTAACTAAATACCCTGTAAAACAGCAACACCGTCCGGCTCCCCACCCCGCCCCGCTACTCCCACCCAAACTCCTTATCACCCTTACTCGGCTTCGTCACCATCTACCATGTTGTTCCGTTTGTTTATTGTCTGTCCTCTCAAACCAAACTAAGCTCCAGGAAGGCAGAGGTTTGACATCTATTAACTATATTGTCCCCGTGTAGAACAGTTCCTGGCATATACTAGAGGCTTCATCGATATTCTGTTGAATGAATAAAGATCTACTTGGTAGAATTTTTAGTCTGGATCTCCTTAGTATGTTTCTGCAAGCCAGACTTACCTTCCCTCAAACTCCAATATTTGTTGTTTAACCAAATGCCACTTGGAAAAAAATCTTGGCCTTCTCTCAAACCTGTTGGATAAATTAAATGCACCTTAGGGACCAGCCTTGAATTTTCCAGTTACCTCAGACATCAAGGGAATTGCTTGCCATGAAGAAGCTGGTTGTATTACATCATTTTTCCCCCACATGTCTTTTAATAATCAGATTTCAGAACTGAGGATAAAAAGCTTATCATTTATTTCAGTTGGAAAAAGACTTTGATAATTGGATAACACTATTGTAGATGAAATTATATTGCAACAGAAAATGTCTATAAGACATCTAGGTTTTGGCAAATGCTTGGCCTTCAAGCAACATTAATGTAACAATTCCATTACAAACATTAAGAAAGTCTGTGCGGGTGGTGGTGCAAGTGGTGGTGGTGGGGGCAGGGGTGGGGGTGGCCCTGTTCCTTGGCCTGCCCTCTGGTGCACTCTAAACTCGATTTAATTCAACCGTCCTGCCAGCTGAAAGACCTGGCAAAGTCAGAGTAATCTGCAGAACCCAAGACTCCAAGGTGAGGAAAAAAAGAAGTTTTGAGGGTTTAGCAATTGCCCCACTGTCACAAATTGCTTCACAAATCATCTGTGAGTCGTGAGCACTAAAGCATCGCCACGACAGAGTAGCACGAGGTAAGCTACATCTCTGGAGTTCACAGGTAAGCAAAAAGAACCACAATCACAGCCTCCATCCTCTGGGATGTTGTAACAGGATAAACACCTTGGCTTCTTGGATGACAAACATACGCGTATACCGGTCAGCCCACCCATTCCCGAATGTCTAAAACGCAACAGTCACTCAGCTGTACTCCAGAGGATGTACACTCGTGTTAGGTGTGTCTCAGTAAAGAGGTGGATGGGTGAAGCTGAATGCTAATTAAAAGCAGAATATAGGAAGATGCATTTCACTCTTGGTTTTGTTGGCTTCTACATATTTTTTTTTATAACTTTTTTTTTTTTTTAAGATTTTTTATTGGGGAATTGGGGGGATGGGAACAGTGCTGGGGAATTGGGGAAAGGGGAACAGACAAGTTGCTGTCGTTTTGTTCTTCAATCTAGTTGTGGAGGATGTTGCTTCACTGGCCCAAGTTGGCACCTTCATTGTGCTCTTCCCGGGCGAGGCACATCAGTCGCCAGCTTCTGGACAGCCGCTCACAGCGGCTGCTGGCCGCTCACGCTGGCTGCTGGCCACACACGGTAGCCCATGGCAATCCACTGCCACAGGGACTGCAGCCCACGCCGTCGCCGGCGACTCATAGACAGCCCAGCTCCAGGTTGAGCTGTTGTTCAGCATCTTAGCTGTGGAGGGCAGTGTTACTGGCCCTCATATGTGGGATCCGAACCGGGGCCCTCTGGCATCCCAAGCGAGCTCTTAACCATCACGCCACTCGGCCGGCCCCTGTTGGCTTCTACATATTGATTTCAACTCCTTCATCACTTCTTCAGAGAATTCTGCCCTAACTAGGTCACATCCCTGTTCTTAGCCCTCTCAGCTCCACGTACCTCTCCACTGGACCACTCATCACAGTCACACACGATGATCTGATTAATACTTGTGTCCCTCCTACACTGTAAGCCTTAGGAGGACAGGGATTGTTTCCGGTTTTGTTTACCTTTCTATTTTCAGTACCCAGCAATACCTGGCACATTTAATATAAGTTTTTGAATTAATGTATAAATATTTAAGCAGTAAAAGTATTCTCCCCATCTTCCCTTTCATATGTAATCTCTGCCTACACTAAGATTCAGCTAAGGATTCTGGGTAAAAAGGACTCCAGTGAGTAAAGACGCTGTGTTGGTGCATATCTATCTCCCCCCTTCCTTCCCTATGAGTTAGGCTGTTCTCATCCCCATCTCCATCCCCTAGCTACCGGCTCCTGTGGTACTTTGTACCATAATGGGCCCTAATTTCATTTTCATTTATGAAGACACTTTCATTTAGGTTATATGTCTGGAAATTCTAACTTCCTATTGCAATTCTCTCTGGGCCTGCAGGTATGCTTTTTAATTGTTTCTGCCTTTTCCTAGGGCTCTAGAAGCTACATAGTAAATAGCAGTCCAATATCCTACTTTGTAAACCCAGCTCTCTCAAGGCATCAGGGTAGGCATCAAGGTTTCATACAACCAGAAGCCACACTGAGTGCTGGAGTCTCTATGCTTATCCTATTCGCACAGGACAATCTGGTGTCACCTTTGAGTCCTGCTGCACGTCACTTTGTTGGGCCACAGAGACAATCAGAGGGAGGAAACAAACCGGTGTTCCTACACAGCCATCCCAAATCATGATTGCTGGAGAAATGGGTCGTCCCACAAAGGTGCCGTTCTGCCTACCGCTGTTCCTACTGGCTGCCTGACAACAGGCGTCCTGGGCGGGGTTTATAAAGGACCCAGGGTCCCATCCAGCCATAGCAGGCACAAGGAATGCCCTTTTCTGGTCAACACTGCTAAAGAAAAGTCAAACTAGAATCCTTGCACGTAGGCAGTTTTGTCACATCAGATGCCTTGTAAACTGGGTGCTCAGCAACGTTCACCATCTGGTTCTTCCAGCTGCACCCACGCGGCTGTTTTCTTCTTCTTCACAGACCTGGTCCCACAGCAATAACACTAGCATCGGCATGGCACTCCACGGCTTATAAAGCACTTATTGCCTCATTTCGTCCTTGCCCAGTCAGCTGAGATAGGCAGGCAGATCTGAAAAGGAAACCTGGCAATGGTGATGTCACACAGAAGGCTGGCTGACACTGGCCAGCACCTCCATTAGAGCACCACTTTGTGGGATGTTGCCCATTGTGTGAGGGTCCAAAGACCCACCTTGTCATGCCCAGACCTTAAGAAACTGACTCCCAGTAACTAAAATGAACACGAGCCTGAGATGGTCACCAGAGTGCTACTTCTATTAATCCATGAGAAATCTCCACCCCAGGGCTGGGATTTAAGGATGTGTGTTTGATACCTTCTATCCCATTGGGACAGTGTTCCAACTTTTGCTGCATCCACCTCACATCAATAGCATCTCACTGTTATAGGAACACCTACTCAAGACATAATTAAGCGGCTTTGCTAGCTCAGAATCAGAACAAGAAACACTAGAGAAACTGGTGAAGATACCAGAGGGAATCTTATGGTAGATAACACTTGTCACTGGGCTCTGAATAGCTGAAGACTGTAGGTTATAATCCCTGCATCCATATCCAAACGAAAAGCAAGAATACTTGAATTTCAAAGTTCACACTGCCTCTCTCCCAAACAGTGCTTGGAACGGACAGTGTCATCTAACTGACATGCCTGCTGACTGACATACCCGATCTGTCTATCTAGTCAAGCGGCTTTTACCGTTGTGTATTTGTTACTGAATTCCCAGTGGAGCACAATGAGATACATGCTAATCCACACATCTTACAGATAAAAGAATGGAGATGCTCGGGGAATCTGAAACCAGCCTAATATCAGACAATCAGCAAATGGCAGAGGTGGGGTTTATACATTCTTGCTGTCCTGGAAGCCACTGCTTCTCAGGTGACACTTATCTTTGCCCTGGTGTGTTGATCTCATAGCATAATTCCCATAGGGTAATTTTACATCTTTCGTTTCCTGATTTTATCGGGGACCTCATTGTAGCTGCCGAGTTCTGAAAACAATGCCCACCTTACAAATGTGGAAACCAAAGCGTACAGAAATTCGTATTTTCAAGGTTACATCCCCAGCCAAGGTTAACCGGGAACTAAGGTTAAGTCTAGGTTCTTAACCAGAGCTCTTCCCACCAGGTCATACTGTCTTGACCTTGGTAGGCCTTTCTACCTTGGCCTCAGAGGGCATCTTTGCTTCAATAGGCTCCTGTGCCTCCACCCATACTGTGACTCAGTTAACACAGGGTTTCGTTTCCTAATCCGAACTCAAAGGAGGGCAATAGTTCCATCTAGAAAGAACTAAGCTTTCTGGCAGAAATTAGCAGAGTAAGCATTCTAGTAATGACTGTTAATGGGAAGAAGGAAGTCTGAAGTTTCCCAAATATAAAAGCCTCAAGAGTTTGTATTAGTCAGGGTACCAAATGCCATACAAACAACCCCCAAATCTCAGTGGCTTAACAACAAAAAATCATTTCTTGATCATTTCCTAGTCCAATGTGGGTGAGCTGGGGTGAGGAGAGAGGCACATATGCGGAAGGCTTTTCCCAGAGTCATTCAGGAACCAAGGCTTCCGAGTCTACCAAGAGGGACCATGGCCAAAAAAATCAGTTAAGAATCCCTAATCTGGAGGCTTGACAGTTCTCTAGGGCCCTGCAGTCTTCCCTCAGTGCCTCTGCATCCAGTGGACCAATGAGGGAAATGACAGCATGAAGAATCATTTGCAAAGTTTTGAGGGCAGATAAAAAATGACTTACATCACTTCTCTCCTCATTCCATTGACCAGAACTCAGTAAAATGACCCAGGTAACTGCAATGACGACTGGGAAATGTAGTCTGGGTGCCCAGGAGGAAAGGAAATGGGGTTTAGTGAACACACAACATTGTCTCTGTTACAATGTCAAACACATATTAGCTTAGACCAGGGGTTGGCAAACTTTTGAGATGGAAGAGCTGCCGGGGGGTCAGCAAACTGCAGCTCGCGAGCCTCTGAAGTAAAATTGAAAATGAGAATAAAACAAAGCTATCATAGTTTCATTTATAAATTTTTTTTTTTTAAGATTTTTATTGGGGAATTCGGGGAATGGGAACAGTGCTGGGGAATTGGGGGAAGAGGAACAGACAAGTTGCTGTCCTTTTGTTCTTCAGTCTAGTTGTGGAGGACGTTGCTTCACTGGCCCAAGTTGGCACCATCATTGCGCTCTTCCCGGGCGAGGCAGATCAGTCGCCGGCTTCTGGACGGCCACTCACTGCAGCTGCTGGTCACTCATGGCGGCTGCTGGCTACACACGGTAGCCCATGGCAGCCCACTGCAGCAGGGGTTGCAGCCTAGGCCGCCTGCGACTCCCAGCAGCCCAGCTCCAGGTTGAGCTGTTGTTCAGCATCTTAGCTGTGGAGGGCAGTGTCACTGGCCCTCATATGTGGGATCCGAACCGGGGCCCTCTGGCGTCCCAAGCCAGCTCTTAACCATCAGCCACTCAGCCAGCCCTCATTTATAAAATTTTTAAAGAATATTATTCACATAATGGTGACTATGTAAAAATATATTTATGGCTCTCGAATAATTTTTAAATTGTTGTGAAGGACAGGATTGGCTCTTCCAGGGGTCAGCAAACTTTTGAGACGGAACATACCCAAAGAGCCACATGTGGCTTGTGAGCAGCAGTTTGCCAACCCCTGGGTTAGACAATGATACCAATGCTAAATGATACAATAATACTAAATAAAAATACCGTGCATTTGTAAAAATGCAAATACCGTAACAATGATCAAATATCAAATTACATGACAGCAATACAAAATTATACTGTAACACTAAATGATACACACCAGCTATTAAATGACACAATGATACAAATACTAAACATTTGTTTATGCAAAAAGCGCTTCCTTGATCTTACACCCAAGAGGAAGAAATGCCTGGATGGAGACAACTGCAGAGCAATGGCCGCAGAGGTCCACTCCCGGCTCAACCCACAAAGAGAAGGTCATAGGAGCAGCCTCACTGGCAGGAGAGACGAAGAGATGGGATGGAGCCTGTGTTAGAGAAGGTAATAACGTCGGGTCCCCCATGTTTTCCAAAATTATCTAACACTAAAGCATTTTCTTTTATCTGACATAATTTATTGGTTTATGTCACTCATTAAATAAGTGACATTGATTGATTAACATGACTGATTAACCAACTGGTTAATATGATAACTGATCCTCAACTCCGGGGACGAGAGTATGCCTCGTCATGAGGAGAGCATACGGCTTGACGGTGACATGGAATGCGAGGGCAGCCCAAAGGACCACGGTTAGGTAGTTCTCCCCAGGTCCTACTACAAACCAACAGTGGCACAATTCTGAGCCCTAGAAACAGGAAGTTAGATGCCAAAAAGGATTTTGAGGTCAGCCAAGGTGAGCTTGGTGACAGATTCCCCAGATCCTGAGAGAACCTGTTTGGCCAAATCTTTCTTTTTTTCTTGGAGCTGCAAGATCTTCTCTTCCACTGTTCCCTCACAAACAAATCTACAAAATAGACAAGCAAACAATCAGAAACCAAAAGCAGCATATTTAACATATTCAAACTTCTGTGCGAGTGAGATTTCCTCCTTTCTTTAGCTTTCTTAAGTTTGGTTAGGAAATCTACGTCTAGGTGATCCAAACAACCTGCGCTAAATGTATGTCTATTTAAAAGGATAAGTGACTCGACTTGACTTTTTCTTTCTTTCTGAAGCTAAGGTAATTGAGAAATGCAAAATAAGCCAAAATTATCCCTCTCCAAAGTGTAGAGAGCCAGCTTTCACAGAAAAAGCTCCACCCTGATAAGGCCAGAAGGCCCTGAGACTCAGCAAGTTTCTGCTAGGTAGATGCTCACTAGTGTAAATACAGTGTCTTCTTTCTGGGCTAATTCACACTGAAAACGGGTTTTACAAGCTGAGGAAACGCCGCTGTCGTTATGCATTCACTCATTCACCAAGTACTGCTTACGCATTCACTGTGTGCCATGTACTGTGCTAGGTGGAGTTATGGAGAGATGAACAGTCTTGCTCTCAAAAAGAATACAAGAGAGAGACGTGAAAATAAACAGCAACAGTAAGACTATGACCTGGAAAGTGCTACAGGGAAAAGTGGCCAGTGTGCAAAAGGAGTAAAAGGACATCTGTCTGGGAGGCTCTGGGAAGGCTCCATTGCAGACTTAACTCAACGTGTGAACTGGAGGGTGAGCAAGCATTTGCCAGATGGAAGGGTGGGGAGGGCACCCCACAGAATGGGACGCGTGTAGAACCATGGCTGAGCTTTAGAACACGGTACGCTGAAGGGACAGCAGCTCATCCAGTCTGGCCAGGGCAAAAGTCAAAGGGACTCAACATGCTGTACTGCAATGGCAGACACCTGAGATGTGCACGGAGGCCAGGTCACGAGTGGCTTTGCATGTCATGCTAAGAAATTTAGATCTGAAAGAGGGACGTGCAGTGGGGCTGGGAAGGAAGGGATGGTTGTCAGAAACATTTAGGAAATAAAATTAATGGACTTTGTAGATGAAAAGTGAGAAAGAGGGAGAAGTCTTATTTCTGTCTCTGATGAGATATTCACAAAGACAAGGAATACAGAAGAGTAAATAGATATGAGGTGGTGGGGAAAATGACTTCGCTGCTGCCATTCTGAGTCCCTGGAACAGGTACACAGCGAGTGTTCATTAGGTACCAGTTTTATGAGTTGAATGAGGCGAGTGAATGAAAAATGGCTTGCACGTGGACACCTGATTCAGGCATTTAGCAGGGTTTCGAATATCTAGGTCTGCAGTTTAAGGAAGCTTGGAACTGAAGATACAGACTTTGGACTTACTGGAGTAGACAGGGTTCTTAAAGGAGGTGCACACAAAGTGAGCTCAAGACAGGAAAACTAACAGAATTGCTGTATTTGGCAACTTGTGGAATCCTTGGTGCCCCTTACCAAGAGCAGTTTTAATGGAGCAACAGAGGTGAGAGCCCGTTTGTAAAGGTTAAGGGACATGGTCTCCCTAACAAGACATGAGTCCATCTGACCCCCTAAAAAATATTTACAACATTGGTTATACTCCCCAAGCTGTCTTTCATATCCCTGTGACAATACTGTAGTTACCAATCCATGTTGTCTCGTCCCTTCCCCTTCTCCCTCATCCCCACCCTCTCCCATCTAGCAGCCATCAGTTTTTCCTCTGTCTCGAAGACTATTTTTGTTTACAATGCTCGACCACTGCATTGTGCTTCTGAAGCTGCTGTTGAATAACACTGTATGTCAACTAAGATTTGATATATATGTAGTTATGGGATGTGGAGTACAGTGCGGGGAGTGAAGTTGGTGGAATTGTGATAGATATGTACGATATTGGGGTTGATTGGGAGAGGGAGGTGGTCACTTTGTGAGGGGTGAAAAGTATAACTATTGCATTGTTTTGTACACCTAAAACTAATAATAATAAAAGAAAAAATAAAAGGTTGAGGAACGAATGGGAGGTAAGCAAGTAAGGACAGTTAGCGACTTCTAGTTCTGCAGCAAACCTGGCCCTGAACAGAAGGAGAAAAAGAAGCCCACAGCTAGAGTGGTTGTAACATTAAGGCCAGTTTTGTTGTTTTTAAAGAGAGGAGGGTCCCAAACAGAGGGACATTCTACAAAATTATTTGCTGGCTTGTGCACTTCAAAAACACCAGTGTCATAAAACACAAAGACTGGGGTGTTGTTTCAGGTAAAATGAGACAAGTCATGACAACTGAACGTTACACAGAGTCTACGATGTTCTTTTGCTGTGAAGAACATCGCTGAAACGAGTGGCAAAATAGAACAGTCCTTATCTTCAGGAAATGCACACTGAACTAGTTAGGGGTAAATAACTCCAATGGCCCAGAAAAAAAGTTTACACACACATGCACAAATGCACAGCATACAGGAATATTCCGGTATTATTCTTGTAAAGATTCTTACATTCTTGTCTATATGTCTGAAAGTATGTCAAAATAAAAGTTAAAAGCAAAGACAGAGGAGAGAGGGGAGAGAGAAGGGCCCTTTCGTGGACCGCCTTGACTGAGATAAGGCTCCCTGTTATAAAAGGTTGCTCTTCTTTTGCAGGCACCAACGCCAAGGTTACCCCAAATGCCTGTGTTCCCTTCCGGGCTACGGTACCAAGGAGGGTGTGCCCCGGGAGCATCACTAGGAAGGTGCTCACCCAATACCCTGCATTCGATTGAAACACTACCCAGGGAATGCTTGCACAGAAGCAGAGCCTGGGGAGGGTCCTAGGTCGGGGAGGCCGCTACGTACTTGTGGATGACAACATCTCTCTTCTGCCCCACTCGGTAAATTCGGTCACAAGCTTGATCTTCAAGTGACGGGTTCCTGGTAGAAGAAAGGTAAAGCTCAAAGGTTCTGACATCCCAGGCCGACTAGCCAAATCCCATAGGCAAACCCAGCCCATGGCCTGTTTTTATATGGCTGGTGAGCTAAAAATGGTTGTTACATTTTTAAAGGGTTGTAAAAACAAGCATACAAAAATCCCACAACAAAGAATATGACAGAAACCTATGTAGCCTGCAGAGCCTAAAATATTTACTACCTGGACCAACATGTTTACAGAAAAAGTCTGCAATCTCTGTCCTAGGCTACATTGGCCTCAGAAAGGTCAGTCAGATGTCTTCTTGCCCTCTAATGAGAAAATGGGGTCAGATTGCTAATAGTCACTCAGCACTGTCACCAGTTGTAGGTAACAGGTGAAACCAGCACCCAAGTTTGGTCACTAACTAGCTGGATGACCTTGGACAAGACATTGAATGTTAACCCCTACGCTTCAGATGGCTACCCGGAAACGCAAGAGCGGGCTCATGATCTCAAATACCTTTTTCAACTTTCTTATTCTGTGACTCAACTAAGGAGGCAATTTGTTTCCGTCTTCGTATTCTCAGTAGCAACTCCACACTCCTTTCTCTTCTTACCTTGTTAAAATCTTGGATAACATTTCTCCACTTCAGAACACAGTGTAATTCCCAGTCTGCTTTCCTCACACATATAGAGGTGTCCCGAGTAAGACCCACACATTCTCCCAGGAGGTAACAACAGGCTGGCCTGCTCGTGACCCTCTGGGCTGCCTGGAGGATCATTAGAACAACATGCAGCCATCCCTGATTGGCCGAGTCTGAAAACCAAAAATTGGGACTTTCTAACAACACACTAACTCATTTATCTTATTTCCAGGAAGGATGCTGTTATGTTTCTGGTGCCAACACGACACGTGAGGCCAAGGGCTATGTGTGAAGTCTATTCCTGATGTAATCAGAAAATGCCTTTGCCTTTTCTTTTGGAGTAACACTTTGCCCTATTTTCTGGAGTTGAGATTTCTTCACAAATGTATCTGAAGTATGGTATTTCGAAGAGGAAGGACTGAGCGATGTAGCTCTTAGCCAAGAGGAAAAGCCCTGCTCCCAGTCTCCATGGAAACAGAGGTTAAACTAACAATAAAGTGAATGGACTATTTTAAGTGGTCACCTGAAGCCTTGCTTGCTCAGGAATTCGGGGTTGTCAACTAGCCTCGTTTAGATCTGTATCTACACACGTGAGCACAGAGGCAGCTGGTCTCCCTGCTACATTTTGACAAGTCAAGAAAAATCCAGAATCTTTACCAGTGCATGTCCAGAAGAAAAAGATGGTTTCCTCCAATCAGGTTTAGACCAACACCTCCAGCCAAGAGAGAGATTAGCATAACCTTCAGAAGAAAGAACACCATTAACTTTATACAGATTTGGTCTCATAACACATTTTTCTTCTGTCTCAGGGTCAAGTCCAAGATCAGTACAGATAAGCAATGTGCTCCTGCTGAGTCGCCCTCTGCTGTCATCAATGCCCTGTTCTGAAATGTTCAGATGCTCTCTCTCATGCCTCACCTCTGAGAAAATTCTCACTTCACATTGTGCGTGTGTGTGTGCGTGTGTGAGTCAACCGTAAGGCATAACTGTGTGCCTGCCAAAACGTAGGAACGCTATCCTAGCGCACTGGGAGTGGTTAGTCAGTGAACTTTCCTCTAACCAGAGTCTGCCTGTCCCATCGGCCTCTGCGCCTGCACGCCCGCCCCCCCCTCTGCTGCGATGCTCCTGCCTATCACACTACCACCGCTTTCCAAATATTTATTATCTATAATTAGATGCCTTTGTTCTGCCACTTCCCTCCATATTTCCTCGTATCAAAACCCCTCCTAGTGCTCAAGGCTTGCCTCCTCCACAAAGATTTCCTTGATCCTCACCAGTTCTGCTCTTCCTCCCCTCTGAACCCCACAGTTTATTCTCTTTAGAGAAATCTGCACACTTGGATACATACCCCATAAATGTCTAATAAATTAAAAACACCTGCAGGGATCAAAGCCGTGACGACATTTAAATTGAGCTGCCGTATCAGAATTCCCTCTGTATGGCTAAGAACAATTTGCTCTTAGTTATAGAACTCGGACGTGACCGGCTCGTACCTGAGGGCCCCCGGAGTGATTAAAAGCCTCCACCAAGTCCATTCTCTGTTTGGGGTTGACAGAGCCATCGATGGTGGCGAACGTCATTCTGTGCCTCTTCAGGTGCGATGCTACAACTTTCAGCATGCTGGTCCACTGAGAGACAATGACACTGGAAGGAAGGATAAAAGAGACAACTGACTCCCCACACAGATGAAACACACTCATCCACCGATGAGCGGCAGAATGCCGCTGCTATTCTTAAGACGCAGTTATCAAATGTGGGTGAGGAAAGGCCTTCTGTTACCTGAGGGGAAAAAGCACACGCTTAGGTCTCGCTTTAAAATCATATGGATAAATAAATCGTGACATTAAAAAAAAAGATTAGAATGCTTCTCGTTGTTTCCAGATCCATTCTACAATGTATCTCTTGCTAAATGAAGTCAGGATAAAGTGGTGGCTAAAGTAAGGACTGCAGCCTCCTATGATTTGGGGGCCGGGGATTCATCCAGAGATCTGCGGTCCGGCAGAAAAGGGATACAAGCCACCCTCCCTCTGCCAGTCAGAACAAGCTGCTATGACTTCTCTACTCAACCCCCACATGCACCCCCAAGCTACGTTTTAATTAAAGCTTTCAGTTTTTAGGTCGAAGTATTTCATATATACAAGTACAGATTTATAACATACATGAAGTTGTGACAAACAACAAATGGACCTCCTCAGATCCAGGGCCCCCAGCTCTGTGGGGGCTTCCTGTCTGCTCACTGTCCTCTGTTTTCCATCTGTTCCTCCCTTGCTTTTCTTCACATATTTCTCTACTTTTAAACATTTCGTCAGATGCTTAGCTTACTCGGATACTCTAGAGAATTTCTTTTTAATCAGTGCCACAAATATTTTAATTAGAAATCATAGGGAATTTGTGCTATAGCATTAGTGCTTTCTGCTGAGCGTGACTGACGTTCCTTGATATAAAAAGCTACGATGTTGGGCCGGCCAAGGGGCGCGATGGTTAAGAGTTGGCCTGGGACTCCAGCTCTGAGAAGCAGGGCCCCGGTTCGGATCCCACATGAGGGCTAGTTACGCTGCGCCCTCTACAGCTAAGATGGTGAATAACAGCTCGACCTGGAGCTGGGCTGCCATGCTTCACTGGCGACGGCGTAGGCTGCAGTGGGCTGCTGTCAGCTACTGTGAGTGGCCGGAAGCCAGCGTGAGCGGCTGGCAGCCAGTGTGAGCTGCCAAGAGCCGCCATGAGCAGCTGTCCAGTGGCCGGCGAGCAACTGCCTCACCCGGGAAGAGCACAATGGTAATACCAACTTGGGCCAGTGAAGCGACATCCTCCACAACTAGACTGAAGAACAAAAGGACGGCAACTTGTCTGTTCCCCTTCCCCCAATTCCCCAGTGTTGTTCCCCTCCCCCAACTCCCCAATAAAAAAAATCTTTACAAAAAAAAGAGCTACAACGTGTAACTATCAGCAATATCAAATTTTCTTGCTTCGTCAACTACAAGCAATACTTAGATAATGAAATAACACATTTACCTCTTTTGGGACCCTGGATTTCTTCGGATTGCCTCCAATTCTGCCAACAGGTTTGAAATCTGGAAAAAGGTTACATGAACACAGATAGGTGTAAGCACCTTTACTGCATTATCCCTCACCTGAATTACTGAGCAGTCTCCGGGGTGGCCTCTCTACATCTGGTCTTACCCTTCCTTCTCTACTGCACTCTTGTCTGCAGCCAGAGAACTATTTCTAAGCTGGCAGTGTGTCACTTCCCTCCACTGGCTGAAGCCCCTTGCATGGCTTCCCACTGAGGATAAAGCCCAAGGTCTTTACAGTGATCCCCGCTGCTCTGGCTTCTGCTGACGTCTCCAGCCTCATCTCTCACTACGCCCTCCCCGAATGACACTCCAGTCACACTGAAATCCTTCCTCCACTGGGCCATGCTTTGCCTCATCTTGGTCCATTCTGTTCCCTCTGCCTAGAACACCCCTCTATGTCAGCTTAATGGCACTTCCTCCGGGAAGTCCTCCTAGCCCCCTAAGTATGGGTTAGGTGCCCAATGCCTATGTGCTGATACAGATGCCTCTTGTTTCGATTATCATGGTCTTTTTCGGGCTATGTATTAACTGCTTATTGAATCATCTCTTGTTTCAGTGACTTGAGATGCTCCAAGGAGGCACAGCTAGCACGCGTCTAGTTCACTTCTGTACCCCCAGCAACCAGCACATTGCTAGACCACAGAAGGTACTCTCCTAACCATTGTGGAAGAAAGTGAAAGAGCTTTACCCAGTTTAAGGCCCGCTCCAAATGCTGCTGGAGAAGTCGTGTTCAGACTGAAGAACCCTTGCCAAAGCTTCCAAACGAGCTCTCTGGATATTTATCAAAACCCCTCTGGGCACATCTGAGTCCACATGGGACCAGTCAGTAAGGACACAGGGGCACGACTCTGGACAGCAGTTGAGTTCATTCTTCCCGACTGTTAATGTGAATGACCTTTCAAAAGCCTCCAAGGGCCCTCGAGCTCATCCCCAGAATGGTGGAGGAGGAAGAAAACTGGACCAGGAATCAGGAGACGAGGAAAGTGCTTACTCTGTCATTGCATGACTGTTATCGCTCCAGCACTCCCCGGTAAGAGCTCAGACTCCTCACCAGTGAAAAAGGGCTGAGCCAGAAAAAGTCTGGGGTGCCCTCCGCCCTTCCAATCCACGCTGTAATGGTGGTAACCTACAGAGGCCCCCACACAAGGCTGCTTTCCGATCTGAACAAACATGCTGACGCCTAGGCAGGAAGTGAGTCACAAAACTGCACCGTTTTGAATTAGTAAGAAGAAAAACAGCAGGTACATGAAGTGCATGGTGTCTTGGCAACGAGAGGTTGTGGAAAGTGCTCTGCCACGTGAAACAGAAATAAAAAACAAAAAAAAAAGAAGGAAGAAAGGAAGGGAGGAAAGAAGGGAGGGAGGGAGGGAGGGAGGAAAGTCGACGCAAAGGCCGATGATGGGTATTTTGAGAAAACTGTAGTGGGAGAGCAGGATCCACGGTGCCTGAGCCGGGGCCAAATTCCGGCAGCATTCTGTATGAGCTCAGGTCTGTGTTACCAACGAAAATCCTTTCCCTACAGGAATCAACTTAAAGTGGTGTGAACTGCTTTGAACAGGCTTACAATAAGAAGCCTTATGAGTAAACATTACCCAAGTATTAGACAAGGAACATGACTATGAAGAATACAAGTTTTAAACCAACAGCTAACTTAGGAGGCGCTAGAACAGGAAGTCTGGCCACATATGGTGCTCTTCTGTTTCTTTCAGTTATTAGTGCCTGAGTAATACTTGAAACATTTAATTGAGAGTACTCTTAAGTAACACCATTCCCTTGGCAGTGACCTCCTTTCTAGTTACTTTTTTTAAAAAAGGCTTTGAAGAGAGAGGTTGAAGCTAGGCATGGGCTTAAGATGAAAGGCAGGACTCAAGTTACAGCATATCTCGGCCTTCCTCTAACAGAGCTCTTCAGCCTTAAAAAGTTTTAATGAAAGTAGAACAGAACGACTAATGAAGACGGAAGGCCATGTAGGAAACAACACTCGCAGATGGAAGCCTTTCAACAAGTCCAAGCAATCAGCGCCCAGATGTGTTACATGGTCTCCAGGGCCCAGCTTTTGCTGTTCCCCTTTCAAGCTTTCCCGGGACAAATTGTTCTCACTGAGGCCCTGTCGCTAGCATAAACCCGAAAGGCTCCTCTCCCGGTAATACCGGACAGGAAATGCGCCTTGATGCAGGGGCTGCCCCACATCACTCCCTGAAAGCCCATTTTGTAACTGTAGTTTGATTCATTAAATAAAAGAAGAATTTAAGACTGGAAAGAGAATCTGATCGGCTAAAATCAAAGAGTTCAAGCTCTGCCATCAAACAAACGGCTGTACCCACTTGGACAAACATGCTCTCACACAGAAAAACGCGTGGAATCCCAGTCTTTCTAACGGAATAGAGTTGACAAATGTACCTTGGTACTCTCTCGCATGTCTTCAAAAAGCTCCACCTGGAAGCACTGACCATTAAGGGAAACCGTGGAGGACGGCTCTGCATTCTGGAGTTCGGTCAAAGTCAAGGCGCCGAGCTGCTCCTCCAGGGAAAGGAGGGAAAGGCCTTCGCTCTTCATTTCTTCCGGGTCCAAGGCCTGAGCGGAAGGTAGGGAGGGGACAGAAGAGGCACGTGAGGCATCCAGTCACGTTACCTGCCGATGACTGTGCTGACTGTTTAACACTCCACACAGCCACATGTCTTCTAATGCATCGTCGGTATCTCCTCAGAGAAACCTTGATTAAAATGTAATCTTGCAAGTTTTTTTTTTACCTGATTAAAGATGAATCAAATGATGGAACTTTCTAGAGACTGCCAGACAGATTACATGATCATTCTTTCTCCCCAGCTGGGACAGTACAATTAATTAAGCTACTGATAATCAAGATCTATTACAACTCCTCAAAAGAATAACATACTCCCCTTAATTAGGATGTGCCTCTCACCAATGTAAAGGCAGCTTTTCCAATTGCATAAGTACTTGAGTTTTCACAACTAGATTTTAAAGCCCCCATATTGCCTGAAGGCAGAAAAAAAGGTAACTCAATTCATTTTATGACATCCTAAAATACCAACATATTCATAAATAGTTCCCTTTTTAATAAAATATCATTTTCCATTCTAAAATAAAAAAGCTTATTTAAAACAAAAGAAAACAAACAATAAAAACTGTTCAATACTGGGCCAGCCGAGTGGCTCAGTTGGTTAAGAGCTCGCTCAAGAGTGCGAGCTCTGAGCAACAGTGTTGTTGGTTTGATTCCTGGCCCGAGCTGAGCTGCCAACAGGTGGCAGGATGGCTCAGCTAAAACAAACAAACAAACAAAAAAAACTGTTCAATACCATGGGAATTATCAAGATCAATAAAGATGAATATAAAATGAAGTAAAATAAACGAGTCCTCTTTTCTGCCCACCATGAACTGAGAAAACCCTAAGCCCATTTTGCTTCATCGAGCATACTGGAGACTAAAATAGACTCCCCGGCACGCTTCCCTGGGGGACCAAGCTCAAGGCTTCTCTTACCGACTTTAGTAAAGAAAGATGACAGCAACACTGGCGGAGTCTCAGCAACTGTGACAATATGTGGACGGTGCTAGGTCTCTTTGAGCATGCCACCGCAGAGCGTCCAGGCTCAGCAGGCCCAAACTCCTGTGCCACTTCCAGGAAGGAAAAGAAACCACAGCAAATAGTGCAGGGCTCAAAACAGAGAAACATGGGGACGCATCGGGAACTAAGTGAGGCTATTTTAAACTTCTATGATCGGAGAGTCAATAATATAGTTATAATTCATTTGTCTCTACCAATTAAGCCAAATGAAACACTGGTTTGCTTTATAGGCCCACTTGCATTTAATAGAGCAGGCTTTGCAAATAATTAAAAAGAAGTTTAGACCACCAGGTCTGGTGCTTGCAGATCAGTCTATTTTACTGCGGTTTGAGGCTCCTGGCTCAGGTCAAATGTATACCAAGAAACCACAACCTCCTACTGCTGCAACTTTAAGGCTCTGATTCCACATTTTCCTCAGTTACATGTATTTAGGAGTGTCCCACTGCTTACCTCTACCGAACGGATTATTGGGGCTTTGTCCAGATTGGTTACCCACACTTTCCTGTCTTTTTAGATAGGACTGCAGAGCCGACCTGCCTCCGATCAAAAAAGAAAATGTACATAGAATGTTTGCTAAAACCAAACAGGTTTAAATGATCATGTGCTTATTGTAGGACCTTGAAACATTATAAAAGTCGACTTTTAAACGCTATTAGTTTCATAGTCAGTGTTGGCCAAAGGTAATGAAAATAATTGTTTAAAAAACAAAATCAGGCCGGCTGAGTGGCTCAGTTGGTTAAGAGCTCGCTAAAGAGTTTGAGCTCTGAGCAACAGCAGTTCGAGTCCGGCCCGAGCTGAGCAGCCGCTGAGCTGCCAACAGGTGGCAGGATGGCTCAGCTAAAAAAAAAAAAAACAACAACATTTTAAAATGATTAACATATTAATATAAAATATAATATTTAATATGAATATGTAATATGCTGGTATGCAAATATTATTGGTTAGTATAACATTCTTGATAAATGTTTATATAAGGTATATACAAAAAGAAAAAACCATATACATCTTAGAAATGGAAGGTACCACGTGGGAGCAAGTTAAATTTGGAATTGAGGGAAGCAGAAGAGTTTTAGAGAAAGTGCAAAGAACAGGTGACAAGAAGGATTACAGAGCAACTTCTTTTTAAGTTCCAATGAGATTCTGGATAAGGTTCAAAGGTCAAAGAGATGTAACTTCCCAATATGGCCCCATGAAAGCCAGACAGACCCAGTGCACAGTGGCCACACCCAGCACTTCTATGCAAGAAAGCGAATAAAGAACAGGTTAAAAAACTTGCAATGTGTACATGAGACACAGATGAGGAGAGAGGGGGGTAAAGAATGAGAGAGGGAGATTATAAAAAACAGAACATGGATATCCAGCTTATCATAATGCCATAAATACAGTTGGAGAAAACTTAACCCACGACTCATTCCCAAGTAAGGACAGGAATACAATACATATGAGAAGCTGCTTCTTCATTGCACACACCTAGATGTTGTAAAAAGGACATTGTAAAGAGTCTCCTCGTCTTCAGAAAGCTTTAAACGATGTAGTTGATATTTACGCTGGGGCAGCATCACCTGGAAGAGTATAAGAAAAGAGCAGCTGGGATGAAGCGATCCAAATGAACTGAATATTACAGAGTGAATTCCCCAGAGTTGACACTGGCAGTCTAGTCAAGCCCCAGACAGCGGCTCCCGCCCTTCCCGAAACACACGACGCAACAGGACCGCTGTGCCACAAGGCGCAGGACAGCACGCCCAGGGCCTCCTCATTGGAAGATGGAGGCTCAGGGGCTCCAGAGCAGAGCAGACGGCGGTTTAACCCAAGAAGGGACACGGTCACATGGTCATCCTGCTTCCCTGCACGCCCTGCCCCATACACAAACACACACAAATGAGATTACCAAGGGCTTGCCCGTGGAGTCCAGCTGGTCTTTTGTTCTCCTCAGCAAAAGGCTCTTGGTTAAAATAGTTAACCGTTCTCCTCCTTTCTTTGAACCATTGTCAACCTGGCTCTTCCACAGATTGAAATCATCAAATGGACAACAACGAAGAAATCTTTTTTGTTGGGAAAGAAGGACAGAGAGTCGGAAAGGAGAAGTATGGGAGGATGGAGTAAAGGTTCAAAGACGTAAGATGAAAAACAAATCAGATTATCCGTTATATCTGTCATCCAATCATTTTTAAAAGTGAATTTCATAGCAAAGCTCTGCGAGATAGATCAAAGGGCTCCAAGTCAGTAACGAAAACCACATTATAAAAATGTGAATTTTCCCATTACCAATGTCAGTCTCATCATAACAGGGCATATAACCAATAGCTAGAATTTATTCCTAAAGCTTCAAAGGCTAGCAAAGAGATTCCATATCTTCTTATGGGCTGACTTTAATAAAAACAAGTATTTTGAAATTCAGCATTCTTTTCTGTTTGCTTCAAATAAACTGTAGTCCTGACCCTAGGCCATATGTTTTAAAGCAGAAGTAGCCCAAAACATTCACTGGGCTGCAGAGAGGTGACTTTAATTTAATTGTTTCCTTTCATTTAATCTGTCCTGTATTTTTCCATATATACAGTGGCTGAATGTAATCAAAGTCCTATATCATCCAGTCAATCAACAGATGATTTTTCTCATAAATATTAACTCTTTTGCCCTTTAAAGGTTGACAGGCTTGCCATCTGCCACGAGATAATCTGGAACACACCGGAGCTTTATCATGAGATATGAAATAATGATGAAGGTTACTGACGGAATTCACACTTACATAATCCCAAAGGCTTTACTCACTTCAGCAGGGAATACATGTCCAGCAAGTTATTCTGAATGGGGGTTCCAGTGACAGCCCAGCGGGCATGAGCTTGGAGCTTACACACAGCGATGGAAGTCTGCACTCGGGGGTTCTTAACATTGTGAGCTTCGTCCAGTATGATCCGAGCCCAGACTATTTGAAGCAAAGGGGTCGAGACACCCTGGAAGGAACACCAGTGAAATCCAACAACAGTATGGGTAAATGTCTTCAAGAAGACAAGGGGAAACAGCAAACAAGTACTGAAGACCCAATCTTTACATTTGAGGGTCCACTAAAATTAGTAAGCTTAAGAAGCCAAGACTGGAAACTCTTATGGTGTACAAGTAAACGAGTCACTTGCGGGTCCCAATCCCTGAGCTTAAGATGCTTAAGAATAAAATGTTTTCTGAAGTTTTCATTTATTTGAGTGATGGCTATGGGTCAGGACCACTGTAGGTGTCAAGCCTGCTAATTCACTCATTCGATAAAGTATAAAGTATTTACTAAATTTACAAAGTCACTAAAAATTTACTAAGAGTCTACTTTTACATAAAGATGCTAAGCCAGACATAAAGGGCAGTTCTACCCTCAAGCAGGAGAAAAACAAGATAACTGCAAAATAGTGTATACATACTAAGTCCCACTGGATAATTCAACAGATGACACTAGGAATCTTGTCAGTCATGTCCAAGGCTAAAACCTGAAATAGCATCTGGCATGTAGTAGACACTCAGTATTTGCTGAATAAATGGAGTGCTGTGATGTAAGGAAGCACATGGTGCTAGGAGACGCATTTAATCAGACGGGGAGGCAAAGCATTCCATTCAGAAGGAGACTATGGCAGAGCAGTATGCATCTCATGTTGCAGCTGAGCATGAGGGGCCACACGGAGGGCTGGGGGGGTAGATGATGAGGGACAGGCAAGTAGGGTGAGGTCATAAAAAGCCTAATACATCATGTAAAGGAATTAAGGTTTTATCCTGGAAGCAATAAGGAACTACCGAGGAATCTGCTAACTTAATCATTTGAAAGAAGTTAGATTTGGTCAAGATGGAGAAGCATTCTAGAGATTTCCCCAGATCAAAAAATCTGTGAATATTCTGTTGTTCTGAAGATAAAAAGAAATGCAAAAAGGGCCAGCCGAGTGCTCAGTTGGTTAAGAGCTTGCTTGAGAGTGCAAGCTCTGAGCAAAAGGGTCGCTGGTTCGATTCCCAGCCCGAGCTGAGGTGCCACTGAGCTGCCAACAGGTGGCAGGATGGCTCAGCTGGCGAGAGCATATGCTCCTAACAAGGTTGCGGGTTCGACTCCCACATTGGATGGTGGGCTCGACTCCCATGTGGGATGGTGGGCTAAGTCCACCCGCAATTAAGATTAAACGCAGCACCTTGAGGTGAGCTAGCTGCACCCTCCACAATTAAGATTGAAGGACAACAACTTGGCTGTTCCCCTTCCCCAATTCCCCAGTAAAATTTTAAAAAAAAGAAAAAAAAGATGAGTTCCTGGAACAACACTGTGTTTTCAGGAGAACAAAACCCCATAATCACTATACAATAGAGTGTCTGCCCTAGACAACAGAACCTCCCTGGGTGCACAGCAAACACTCAGGGATTTTCTCTGGTTATCATTTAGCCCATTTGCAGCTTTATTATTTCAACCCCTTTCCCTGGGAGGTGAAGGGAGGCAGGGAATGAATGATGACTTAATACCAAAATACTAATCTTGACACTAAATATAAAACATATCCTGAGACTATACCACAAAGACTAAAATAAAAATTGCAACAAGTGAGGCCTTCCTAGAATCATGTAATGATGACCAACAATACTGCAATGTAGTTACTAGTCCTAAGAAACAGCTAAGCCAGCGGTTCTCAACCTTTCACAGGGGTCGCCTAAGACCATTGAAAAACACATATTTTCGATGGTCTTAGGAATCGAGACACCGCTCCTCTATCCGTCTCCAGGCCCACATGCAGATACGTCCACATACGAGTACCTGGTAACTCCTGTGAAAGGGTCGTTCGACCCCCAAAGGGGTCGCGACCCACAGGTTGAGAACCGCTGAGCTAAGCACTGTTCCAAACCTCGACCTCTATCACTGAGGAGGTATCTAGAATAAAAAAAGGGACAGAGGAGAGAATGCTTCACTTTCACAGGTGAAACATTTAGGACATTCAAGGGCGCCGTTGCTATTTCTGGGGCTGTGACAAGATTCCGGTTGATCGCGACCCACTGGAATTTATAAGGAATTGCAGAAGGCACTGAGCATGGGCAGCTCTATTAAGACAGATCTGTCCTTGGACCTAGGAGCCCCGGAGCCCGTTCAGAAAGCCAAGGTGAAAAACTGTCGTAATAAAATTAAGGACTGCAAGGACACAAAGCCGAGGCCCATGAGAACCTAGGTGTCTTATTAAAGATATCCATTTCTGATGTATTTATGAATTATAATAAAGATGATTATATACACTAAAAAAAAAGATTCCGGTTAAGAGATGTGGCTTCCCGTCTCCTCCCCTGGCAGCCCCCACCCTCACCTTCTTTCTGAGGTTTGTGCCCGGGACCTCTCCCTCTTGCTTGTTCTTCGTGGGGATCTCCTTGGCCAGAAGGCTATAGGTGGTGATTACAATGTCATACGTAGAGAGGCTGCATAGACAGAACACAAAGCAAATGGTGAGTGCTCCCTCTGTGGCTCTGACAACCAGAGGCAGAGTTCATCCCGTCATAAAAATGCCTATGGCTGGAAGGACAGAGTTCATTCACCTATGTCCTTGATCCACACACACGATTTTGGAATGGTAAACTTCACTCACTTGGCTTCCTTCTCTCTTAACTCGGATCATTTTTACAGTCTGTTCACTATAGCTAGAACAGCCTCCCTCCTCCCATTCTATGAGTCAGAAAGGAAAAGCAGCTAGGGTCACGTTAACCTGGACATGATGTGGCCAGAACAGAACGTAGGGAAGGACTGGGAACTGACATTTAGGGAAGATTTGATAGAGATGACACTGAAGTCCCAGGAAGTAAGAAACTCTCAAGGCACTGGTTCACCTTGCATCAATGATGCTTTCTCTTCTTGGTTCTATAACCGATTTGTAAAAACCCAGTCGCTTTGACATTTGAGTATAATCGTGCTGGAAACTTTCAGTTTACTTTGCCTACACTCTTTACATAAAAGATTCTCAACAAAAGGCACAAATCTTTTCCCAACAAAGCTTAATATTGTGCACTTGAGAACTTCACTAAATACCTTTGATAAAAATGATATGTCTAATTCAGAGAGGCAGCAATGTCTACATGTGGCCTTCGGATCACAGAAAGGCATAACTGAGAATGATTCCAATCAGTCAACTTGTGTATTATGAACACCACACTAGGTATGATCAAAGTGCAAATCAAGTGAGATGCAAATTATTTCTAAATGAGAATCTAGAAGAAAGGCAGGCTCCTTACAGTCCTCTATGCCGGAGAAGCATGAGGCCTGCGCTGCTGCCCTGATGTGTCAGTTTGCAGAAGTGACTCTCAGTCATGAGAGTTGGTGTGTGATAAGAGTCACCTACCCTGTTCTTCAGGAGATAAAATATCCAGTGTCAGAGGCTGGGGAGAGAGATTACTTATCACAGAAGCAGAAACAACTCTGTCCTTAACTATTCAGCAAGTATTCAACCCAGACCAGCATATCACAGTTAAGAACAAAAAACGATTCCTTTAAAACCAAAAGACAAAAACTAGGACTCAAATTACCGTATGAGGAAATGTTTTCTTTCATCCCTCTTGATCATCCCACCTCAGAAATTCAGTTAGGCCTAATCCTAAACTCTTGAATCCAAAACTTCTTAGATTGTTCATAAATGAAAAACAGTCATAAAAATATAGCATATCAGCCTATATAGCAACTAATTGTTACTATGATATCAAAACGCTCTGTAAGACTGAGCTGGTTCCATGCACAGTAACAGAAAAAGAATGTGAATTTGGAATTAGAAACTCAGCAATAATGAAATCACTGGCACATATCCTCGTGTACCAGGGGAATGCTGCAGCTACCTGGCCGACAGAGGCATCTCAGGCCTCCTCACACAGCAGCTTTCGGGGACAGTGACAAGGATATAGCAAAAGGATGTCATTTTCTCTCAAGAGGTGAAGGCTGTTTGGTGATGAGTGCCTTTGGTTGTCACAATGTCACCAGTCCTGATTAAATGAGGTCTCATGGAAAGCAGGTTCAGTCATATGGCCTTGAGGCCTCAATACTGAGCACCCCTACTGGCTGCATTGTTTCTGCACTTACACTTTTGCACGCTGGTCTCGGTTGGGCCCATGATAGAGATAGACTGTTAATTTGTTGCTGCTCACACGCTTCTCCACCTCCTTTTTCCAATGATGGATCAGGGAAGCAGGACAGATGATAAGTGTTCCATGGGAAGTAAACTCAATGGAGTCTTTACAGGGAGAAAAAAAAATCAACATCTATTTATATTCATTAAATAGACTTTAACTTCCTAAACACAGTAACTTTCTCTTGATTGACTTATTCCTTCAATCAATATTTTTATCAACTGCTGCTCTTATTTCTACACACAGCTTACAGAATAAGAAATGGATGAGATGTTCTTTTAACTCAAAACAGTTAATTACTTCTTTATTTTCCCCTATAAAAGCATGAGATGGGCTAAAGAGGGAGAGGAAAGTAGGTAGTACATGACCTCAGTCTAAAAAAAAAAACACAAAATAAAACAATGCACTTTCACAGTGGCCATAAAGTAGAAACTGGATCATTTCCCAACTCGTCCTGAGCTGATGCATTAGAGGGAAGTATTATTTTTTTTCAAAAAAACATTAAAATTACATCTACATTAAAATGTAAGTACAAAAACCCCTAAGAAAACATTTCTTTGGAACAAGTTAGTGATGGAGTGGTTGTACTGCTGCCCCCTCATCCGTGTGTGTGTGTGTGTGTGTGTGTGTGTGTACACGTACCAGGATCCAGCGGCAACAGTGGTCATCAGAGGCCCTGACAGCAGATGGTCACAGATTTTTTTTTTAACTCTCTAGCCAACTGAAAAGTATACCTGTGTATGTGGCAACTTACATGTGGTGCTATCTACACACGATATATAGGACCTTTAAAGTACTTACAATTATTACATTTTAAAAACAGGTTGAAAGAAGATAGAAATTGTCTAGAATCTGGAATCTTCTGGAATTTCAGAAACATGGAAAACAGCTGCTATGAGGGCTAAAATCTGCATTTGGGACAGACCTTCATTAAAAAAATATTATATTAACTAATTTGAATCTACCCTGTAATGTTACCCTCAACACTAACAAAAATAATCATTATTATGTTTAAGTCTTCCAGAACCTTAGCTTTTTCCATAAAAATTTTCTAATCACAGGTCAAGCTAAGTTTATATTAAAAAGGATAAAGTCACTTATAATTAGCATAATCAGCATCAGAAATGATACCACAAGAAAGTAGTCTAATACTAGATTTCCAATAGATTAAATATGACCAAAAATGCCCTTTCGTGGCTTAAACGTTTCCCCTCTCTGCTGGTGCAAATGCTTTAGGAAACAGCAGGCTAGGAAGGCATGTGAGTACCATCTTTGGAAAGCCAAGTCAAGGCCATGTTTTTGTCCTTTTCTTTGTTTTTCTCTTGATTCTTCTGGACCAGGATGAGTGCGATCATTGTCAGGGTTTTTCCTAATCCCATATCATCCGCTGAAAAATAAAAACAAAAACAGGAGAGTTAATTACTCAGAGTAGAGAGTCAACTCAGCTTCGAGAGAGGAAACCACTGGTAGACATGCACTCCATGCTCTCTTTGCTGTTGGGGCCAATCGGGCACTGCGCTTTGCCAGCCCTAATGAAGCCTGTGCTTTTCTTATTTAAATGAACCCTAGTTCTTGCTATTTGTTTTGATCTAGACCAAAGACATTTACTGTGACTCGTAAAACTTAAGCTTACTATTTAGACCTATTCTAGACTCCATGTTGCATTATTACTTACCTAATGCATTCACTGATACCTCTCTCAGTTTGAAGATGTTGCCTAGTCTTTTTATTTGTTACCCGCCCCAAAAGGAAAAAAGATCCTGTAGAGATATTCTACCGACTTGACTGGTGCTTCCACATTTCTGGAGTTAACTCAAAACAGCCCTCCATTCCCTTAACTTACTCATCAGAGAGGGGCATAAATGAACATTTCTTGGGTAGTCTCATTGTGCCAGTCACTGAACTTATCCAATTTACTATTTATGCCCTATAAAACATTATCCCCACTTTAACCGTTAATCACTCTGACATAAGCAGGAGTAAAATGTCACAGCATGGGTTCTGGTCCAAATTCTGGCTCTGCCCCTGTGCAGAAAGAGTTAGCCCAACAGCCCTGCCTACTATCCACTGAAAGCCCTGCTTACAAGGCCGGCCCTTGGCTGGTGTCTGGCAGCTCGGATCTCAGGAAGCTTCCCACCACTGAAAGAACTGCTAAGAGTGGCTCACGGTGCCTCACCTATTTGTACAATACGGTTCATGTGAACACCTTCTAGAGGTATGCAATTTAAGTACATAATATGCTGAAGCTGCCTATGTGACCAGGCCCGGATAAAAACCTTGGTTACCAAATCTCTCTCTCTAACAAGCTGCCCTGGTTGGCAACATTTTAGATGTTGTCACATCTCACTGCTGGGAGAAATAAGTACGCCCTGTGTGACTCCACTGGGAAGGCCTCTGGAAGCTTAAGCCTGGTTTCCCCTGGAGTCTGCCCCATGTGCCTTTTCCCTTTATTAATTGTGATTGCATCAACTCAAGATAATTTTATTATTATTTTTTAATGTTGTAATAAGTTATACCGTGAATATGACTATGTGCTCTGCATCCTCCTAGCAAATCATCAAACCTGGGGATAGGGCTGGCCGAGTGGCGCGTTGGTTAAGAGTTGGCTTGGAACGCCAGCTCTGAGCTGCAGGGCCCCAGTTCGGATCCCACATGAGGGCCAGTGACGCTGCGCCCTCTACAGCTAAGATGGTGAACAACAGCTCAACCTGGAGCTGGGCTGCCGTGAGTCGCTGGCAACGGCGCAGGCTGCAGCATGGCTGGCTGACAGCGGGCGTGTGTTTTCGTGAGCTGCCGAGCTACCAAGCCGCCGTGAGCGGCCGTCCAATGGCTGGTGAGCGACTGCCTCACCCAGGAAGAGCACAATGATAATACCAACATGGGCCAGTGAAGCGACGTCCTCCACAACTAGACTGAAGAACAAAAGGACAGCAACTTGTCTGTTCCCCTCCCCCAGCTCCCCAATAAAATCGTAAAAAAAACAAAAAACTAGGGATAATCTTAAGGACCCCCAGCACAGCCATTTACTAGCCATAGTGGACATTTGTCATGTTTTCTAGAAGTTGAGCACCTTAGAAAATTGTAGTTTTGAGTCCCCAAAGCAGAGCCTGAAAACCTTGCTCTCTGGGCTCCTCTAGAGCTACGGTACTGGCAGCATGACCTGGCTCCACAGACTACATGTACTCACACAAGGCTTCAATTCAGATGTCAGCAACTTGAGAAAAGAGGCTCCCAGAGAAGTCCTTCCTCCAGGAAGGGGTGGGGACAGAAGGGTCTGACTTTGGGGCGGCACTGCTTTCCTCTAGTGCCTCATGGAGCAAAGCAGCCATGACACTTTCCACAGACACTCAGTTTATCACTTGGCTTTGGCCACTGCTCCTCCAAGTTTGGCCTCCAGCCAGGCTCTCCCATCTAAAGGGATTCTGTGGATCACTGCAGAATGAACTGTCTCTGCTTAATCAGCCAGTCAGCTTCTACTGCTTGCAACCAAGCCCTGGCTGGTCCTACAGCTGTGTACTCATGAGTGTGTTGCTTGGCCATTGCATACCTCAGTTTCCTCATCTGGCAAAGGGGGCAACAACCCCACAGAGCTCTTGACAGGACTGCAAGAAACAATGCCACCACGCATTTGCTGGCCCTCACCACAATACCACTTACCCAGAATTCCTCCTTGTGGCTTCTGACTTTCTCGCCAGAGTAACCAGGCTAATGCCTGCTTCTGGTGCAGCAGCAAAGGGACCTAACAAAAGTAACGACCAAAAGTTAAGTACAAATTCCTCATGAGACAGAGGCTATCCTGGATCCTGGCTACATGGACTCCGCACCCCACTCTTTGATTTTCTGTAAGTGATCCTCCCAGTGTTCTCGTTGTCGTCTAAGTTGCCTGTTTCACCTGGAAGTCCATGACTCCATCCTCTCACCTTGGATAAACCACACATCCTGGCCTGCCCAGGACAGTGGTGACTTATGCCTACTGTCCAGCATGTCTGTCCAGAGCCTTCTCTTACCCTCAAGCAGGAGTCCTGGCTTGTCTGCTTAACCAGCCCGAGTCAGCTTCCACTGCCTGCAGCCAGGACCTCTAACTGGTCCCCTTACTTTCACGAGCCGTGCTGTTGGCTTTTCCTTGTTCTCTCTGAAATGTCACTCTCCTATCTCTAGCCAGGGTCCCACTCTGCACTGCCAACCATAATTTTCAATAGCTCTTTAACTGGCATCCTTCTAGTTGTTTTTTACTCGGGTTTATCTTGTACTCAGTGACAAAAATCATCTTCTTAAAACACCCCTGCTCAAAATTCTACAGTGATTCCACAGTATCTCTTGAGCTGGTCCAATCTACATTCCTTCACCAATGCCAGGCTATGGCAAGGGAGTCCTGCTCAGTAATGTCACCTGCGGCTCCCAGCTCAGGTACCAATGTCACCCTGTCCTACCAGTCTCTCTGTCTTCCCTCTAACCACCACTCCCTCTGACTGGAGGGTCTGGGTTCTGTCCCCTCTGCTATCTTTAGGCCTACAGCTTTAACGCACCAAGTACGAAGGCAACAAATAATGATTGACCCAGAGTGACTTTTCCTTTATTTTGAATCCCTTTTGTACCTTGTACACAGTCTACAGTACATTACAAGGCACGTTTTATCTTTGTCTTCAAGTTGCTTTCTAATTGCTCTATGTATGTTGTATATGCACTTTCACCCCAACTAGTTCATCAACAGCAGCAATTCCTTTGTATCCTCGTGGCACCTATGGAAGGTCAATAAGTGGATCCGTTACTGCTACAGGTATATATACTTGACCCTTGAACCATGAGGGGGTTAGGAGCACGGACACCCGTGCAGTCAAAAATCCACATGTAACTACTAGTCAGCCGTCCACACGGACTCCCAACCATGGATCAAAAATACAGTTGACCCTGAACAATGTGGATTTGAACTGAGTGGACCCACTTATACGCAAATTTTAAGTGGGCTCGTGCAGTTCAAACCCACGCTATTCAAGGGCAACTGTATAACTTTATGACTATAAGAAAAAAAGTGGTGTTTTTTTCCTCACTGCTAAACAGAAGAGGAGAAAATACTGCAAGGGGAGCTACTAAAGCATTATCTACAGGAAAGACACATCCGCATGGCGCTCCGCCCGGCAACCGCACAGCAGTCACCCTCTCCAAGGGCCCTGGGACACTGTTCCCGACACTCTGTACTGTGACTCCGCCCTGGCTCACCTTCAGCCCAGCCGGATCCTCTGCCACAGCCGTCTCGCCAGGACACGACTCCAGTGATCGGTGCAGCTCATCAATGGCTTTACTTGTGACTTTCCACACGGCGTAAAGGCTATCGTGGTTCGTAGAGCCTGCATATAGATAGGTGTTACCTAAAGGTGTCACATGTGTTGTCCTGGCTATAGCTGCAAAAAGGTGTTTTGTTATTTGCTGATTGATGGCTCAGTATGGACTAAAAAATTCCTTTTTTTTTTTTCATTTAGTTTTAATTATAGTTGACATATAATTTGGGGCTTAAATTTCTTGCCTCCAGATTCTCCTAGCCTCACAGGCTCCTCTATCCTCATTCTCTGTCTGCTTTTTTTAATCACATAAAAAAAACTGTTACAATAAAGGACAAAATAATAGAAAGTCAAATGAAAAAAATAAGATAACCTATCATATTCTTGGTAGGTTTTTCTTCTCCAGCTTTGAAGAGCTGGCAGACAAAAGATCCCTGGGGCTGGATGCAATGGAAGGTCAGCAATAGAAAAGTCATGCTGGGTGAAGTTTGGGCAGACAGGGACAGACAGCCCCTGGCGTGCACGTCACCAGCCCCAGGAAACACTTCAGGCTGGGAGCCCACTCATTCCACACGGAGAACCTCTACTCTAGATAGTTAACAAATGCAGGCACCTCAGCTGGTTGCAAATTTAGGGATGAAGTAGCCAAATCACAGGCTTCTCTAGACCAATACACATTAAACTATTAAAATGTTTTTAACTGAAAAATTATTTTAGTGGAATTCTCTCTAAAACATAGCACATACTTGCTGACCTTAATCATCTAACTTAATTTAATTTCCCTCTAGGCGACTCAGTCACTGTTACGATTATGGAATGAGACTGTAACATAGCAACGTTCTGAAAATGGTCCTACGCAGCCAAACCCATGACACAACTGTAACAGGTACATCTTCCATCCCCGCTTAGACTGACCTTAGCTCCATCTGGCACCGAGTCTGCCTCTTACACCCTGGTTAACTACTTCTCTTCAGCTTCCTCCCATGCCTTTCTTTCTCCCTGCTTGTTTTCTTCTCTCCTTTTCTCTTTCTCTATCCTACTAGCAGTTCTCAACTGGGTGGAAATCAACTTTAGCTTTGCCAGTCACTGCCAGCCAACCTGAGCTCCGTCCTGTCACCAGCGCACCGACCCATCATATGACGCATCTGAGGCACTACCTGGGTCCTCATTCTGCAGTTACTTCTGAGTTCATCATTTTCTGGAAAGTTCAGGATGGAAACACACGGATACAAATGTATCTGCTGGTCTACCTACCTCACCTCATCATGATGCAAGTTCAAGTTTCATCCACATTTACTAGATGATGCCTATGTGCCAGCCACTGGGCTGACTGAGCAAGGTCAGTGAACAAGGCAGACACAGTCCCTGCCCTCACGGAGATCTACAGAACACTGTGCAAAGCTCAGCTAAACAGTGTCATCTTTCTTATTCGGGCAATTTAGAAGTCAGGGATGGCTTCTCCCTTCACATGGGCACAGACATCTACTAGGCAGCACTGACCTCATAGGTGTAGCTGCTCAGGACGGGGCCAGGCCCTTGGATTTTACCTCCAGAGCACTGCCTGGACTCGCCAGCAGCTTCCTGGCAGGCAGCCGTTAGTCCTAGAGATCCCAGAGGCTGGAGGTCCTGACCCTGCAGGGCTCTGGGCGGCACCCACCGGGGAGGGTCACTGGGAGCGTGGGTGGAGGTACTCTGCTGTGGTACTTGAGCATTATTCTTCTCACTAGGACCTGCTGAGAAACCATGAGAAGGCCATTTGGAAGCTCAGAAGAGTGAAGGGATTACATGTGTGTGGTGAGGCCAGAAAGGGTGGGATGGCCGCCATTCCAGTCAGCTGGGGAAGGCTTCCCAGAGAGCATAGCATTTAAACAGCTGCATAAAACAATGGGAAAGTGAGTTGAGTCCACAGGAAATCGGAGCAAGTTTTTATAAATCACAGGTATAACTTAAATGAAAGCTCAGGAGCAGATAATAAAATGGAAAGGTGAAGGAATCAACATATTCTTTATCAAGATGGCGTCTCAAATGTGTCTTGTAAAAGTTCATGCAAACCCCAAGTTCTGGAGCATACATAACCCACTTTACCTGGCTCTGGGGAGAGGGCGAGAGCACCGAGTGCTTCCTCCAGCTCCTGAATTTGCTTGAGCAACTTCTGACCCTTGTCTGGAAGCACCTGGATGTTCACCGATGCCAGTGTGCTCTGAAAAACAGGTCCGATAAAATGGATCTTTCCTCTCACGTTATGAGCAAGACAGCTTCAGATTAAAATACCTAAAATGTTGGGGCCGGCCGAGTGGCTCAGTTGGTTGAGCGCGAGCTCTGAGCAACAGGGTCGCTGGTTCAATTCCCACATGGGCCAGTGAGCTGCGCCCGAGCCGAGCTGCCAACAGGTGGCAGGATGGCTCAACTGGTGAGAGCACGTGCTCCTAACAACAAGGTTGCCGGTCGACTCCCACATGGGATGGTGGGCTGTGCCCCCCACAACTAAGATTGAACACGGCACTTTGAGCTAAGCAGCCACAGGCGGCTGGTTGGCGACTGGACTTGGAGCTGAGCTAGCTGCGCCCTCCACAACTAAGATTGAAGGACAACAACTTGGCTGTTCTCCTTCCCCAATTCCCTAATAAAATCTTTAAAAAAATAAAAAAATATAATGCTAAAACTCTGAAATTATGGTCTTTTAACTACTCTATGTGTGAAAACCACAACTTTTTTTTTTTAAACTGAGCTGACCTATCAATCCTGAAAATATAAACACAGGAAAAGGCAGAAACTAAACATCCAGCTACAAAATCTTTTTCACATTACCATCTTTAACTCGTCTGTGGAGTCCCATATCTGCCCAGAGCAAGCAATGCTGTGACCTGAAAACAAGACAGAAGTCAGCAGTTACCTTCTTCTGTTTCAGTTGTGTTGTGAGGTGTGTACGTTGGGCTGCTGGGTCTGAAGGTTCTATCCTCTTGGAAACCCCTGAGGCAGGAGACATTTTTCTTTGCACACTTTGACTAGGGAATTTATGGTTGTCCTTCTGTGAATCCGGAGAACTATCAAAGAGTAGTGGGCTTCCTGGCTGACAGGAAACAAAATCATCATCTTCACTGTCGCTACTGCTTGCGTCAGTTTCTCGCCTCTTCCCCAGGGAGTGCCCTGCGGCCAGTGGTGCAGGCTGCGTGGCGGATGCTTTTGGCACGGGCACTCCGCGGGTCTCCGATGGCACCTGGAAATGCCCTGGGAGCCTCTTCTGAGTGCTCCGCATGCTTGGGTTGTCCTTTGCCTTTGTTTCTCCAGCCTCCCAGCCCTGGGGGTGCTCCTTGCTGAGCTGTTCCCCTTGCTGGGGCTTGCTTTTTGGGTTCTGACTGTGAACATTCTGAGGCAAAGTCCTGGTTTCCTGTACTCTCAGAGGTTCTGGTTCTTTGGGCACAGAATAACTCTTGCCATTTGATTTCTCCTGAGGAGACGCAGGCGGTTTTCTCAGCTCATCCCCATGGCGCTGTCTGGATTTCATCTCAAAAAGGTTTCTTTTGTGCGTCCCTTCAGCCTCCTTGGCTTCCCACTGAAGCTCTGCCTTCTGCCCTTGCTGCTTCTCTTGAGCTGCAGATTGTTTTTTCTTTACCCCCAGGCCAGATGAGAGCTCTTGCTCCTTCCAGCAGTTAGCTTCAGTCCTCTTTTCCTTCTTTTGATCCAAGGGCGGATCCCCCTTTTCCCTTTGCTTATCAGCCATCTTTTCCTCATTGCCACCTTGGATGAACTGTTTCCAGAGAGACGGTTCTTGATTCTTGTCAAGTACCTTGAACGGGTTTCTCTGACTGGAAGGAAAATGAAATGGCTCAGATGCCTGCTGAGCCTTAGTGGTTACCGAATGTTCTTTGGAATCAGGATCCTAAAAGACAAAGAAAATCATCTTAATATAAATGTTAGTGCAACCTTCATATCTAGAATGCCTTTTTTCAGAGGAAGGGAAACACAATAAAAGCAGTCCAGTATTTCTGAGTATGCCCAGGACCATTTTTGCCTCTAGGAAAGATGGTGTGCCAAACTCACAGAGCAACCGTTTCTTAACAGTGCTTTCAATGCTTGGTTCCTTCTCTGTCCATCATCGCTACTTTTCCAGGCCTCAAGGAAACGCAGTGACCAAATCAAAATGCTTGTACAATAGCAAGAGCCACAACAATGCACTTTCATGAAAAACTATTCTCTCAAGATGAACTTCTCTTCAAACTTAAACAAGGTCCTATGCTGGCTTTGATTTTGGCTTTAGGAAGGTTTCACTGCGGAAGCCTAGAATCATAGGTTTGGTAGAGTCTATCCCTCTACCAAAACAAGTCTTGGCACCTCCCTAGGTCTAGTTCCTTACCCTGGGTATCTGTAAGGTCTCTCCTTGTTCTCACATTCTAGGAGCTTATGAATTATATTCAACTTGTACCAGTATCAAGGAGGTATCGGTCTATAAAAGGATGCTAAAGTTAATCAAGTAAATCTAAATTTTTCCCTAAGTAGGAGAATATTGACTATAATTAAGAGCTTGAAAAATATTTAAGTAAGTGAAATAGGAGGCAAATAATTAAATCTTGAATATAACCAGTCCTTTGAATTAAAAATCCCACCAGGGTCTACCCACTGCCTTTCAGAGATAGTATAATAAAGACCAACCAGTTTATATTGTACTTCAAGGTCTTTTCAGGTGATGCCACAGATTGAACAGTCTTAACATAGCAAGTTTAAAAACAGGTGAAGAATTCCTACCTGCCATGGGACAGTTCCACACCATTGCTTCCCCTCAGCCTTACTTCGATTGCATCGGAAGAACAATCTAAAAAGTATAAAACACAAATAATCAAGGCCATGAAAATCCATTAAAACAATAAACAAATCTGCTTGAAATCCAAGAAAACATTTTACAATTATTTGATATCAGTTTTCAAAGGTCATCTGAAACCAGTTACTCTTATATGTACCTTTAACAATTCTCTGCTGCACAGGGTATTTATAAGGGCTGAGAAGTGAAAGAATAGAGGTGTCATGGTAACCAGAAGAGATGCACTGGCTTATTCTTTTTACTCTGTAAAGAATGACTGAAATGAAGACACTGATCAGCGGTGGCTGCTAAAATCAGAAAAAGAGAGATAACCAGACATTCAGTGTCCCTGAATCCGGTCAAACCCCTAGATCCAATTACCAACTTACAGGAAATACAGAGGAACACAAAACACTAGACCATAGGGATGTAATCTGCAAAATCCCGACAGTGGGAAATGTTATATGACAAACAACTTGATTCCTTTAACAGATAAATCACAAGGGAGAAAAAACGATGGAGAGGAAACTTAAAGGGACTTAAAAGAAATATGTATCAGGCCGGCCGAGTGCCGCGATGGTTGAGAGCTGGCTTGGGATGCCAGAGGGCCCTGGTTCGGATCCCAAATATGAGGGACAGTGACACTGCCCTCCACAGCTAAGATGCTGAACAACAGCTCAACCTGGAGCTGGGCTGCCATGAGTCCCCTGCAACGGCGTAGGCTGCAGCCCCTGTGGCAGGGGGTTGCCATGGGCTACTGCGCCAGCAGCCAGCATGAGCGGCCAGTCGCCGCAGTGAGCAGCCGTCTAGAAGTCGGTGACTGGTCTGCCTCGCCGGGAAGAGCGCAATGATGGTGCCAACTTGGGCCAGAGAAGTAACGTCCTCCACAACTAGACTGAAGAACAAAAACGACAGCAACTTGTCTGTTCCCCTTCCCCCAGTTCCCCAGCGCTGTTCCCATCCCCCAATTCCCCAATTAAAAAAAAAAAATCTTTAAAAAAAAAAGAAATATGTATCAATTGCCATTTGTCTTGATTTAAACAAATAAAAACAACTAAAAATAAACTATGGCATTCATGAATCTACTGGAAATTTATACTCCAACTGGTTTTTAAAAACAAAAAAGAGTCCATATCTTTTAGAGCTACATACTAAAAAATTTATAGAATAAATTATGTTATCTAGGATCTGTTTCAAAATATGGCAGGAGTTGGGGTGTGGAGTCGGTAGAGTATGTATGAAATAAGATTAGCCATGAGCTGGTAATTATTGAAGTTCTCATGCTGCATTGTTCTATCCTATCTACTTCTATATATATTTGCAATCTTCCATAAAAAAATTTTTTTTTAAAAGACTGAATATAGATTTACATATCCCAATGCAATTCCCTGCACATTCAAACACAGCTTACACTCCAACTATGCAGACATGGCTACACTGCCCCAATCCCAAATTAAGCCATACACTCTCCAGCCTACCAGACTTTGTATGTGTACCTCCCCCATCCAAAGGATGCCCTTTATCCATTTGCCTACTGTCTTCCCCATTACCAGCTGTCAATAGGTCCCTCAATGTCTAGTTCAAGCCATATCTCCTTTGCATGGTTTTCCCACATTCCCTTCCCTGTTCATTCATTGTACTGCTTCTGTATTTTTGTTATATTTATTAGTTGCATTACATTTGTACCTGTCTATCTACTTGACTATATTTTCAAAAACTGGAAGGCAATAATCGTATATGATCTTTATTCCTAGCTATGCCTCGACTTTTGTACATAATAGTTAAGCATTGATAAATAGAACCAACTGATTTTTTTCCTTACCTAAAATAACACCTCAAAAAATTTTAAATAAGAGCTTTTAAAATATGTATTTTATTTAAATGTTTAAATAGGTAATATACTCAATCAAAAATTATAAAATGGCAGTGAAAAGCACCCCCTCACCATGCTTTCTCTCTCTCTCTCTCTCTCTCTCTCTATATATATATATATAGTTTACAACTGCACAATTTTCCACTACATGGATGTTCCATTATTTAATTAACCAGACCCTTCTTGATGGACAGTATGGGTTCTAATCTTCTACTATTAAAAGCAATGTCACACGAATACCTTATACACTTGTCATTTCACATGTGTTTTAATATACCTGTAGGCAGGGTAGCTCCTTATTTCTCATATTGGGCCTTCTCTGTTTTATCCTGATCATTTAGCTTCTGGATTTTATTTACTAGTTCTCTTTTTTCTGTTTTCTAACTCATTAAGTTCAATTTTGACCTACATTAATTCCTTCTTTCTGCTTTCTTTCAGTTTAATTTCTTGTTCTTTTTCTAACTTCTAAAATGAGTCCCGTGATATACAACAGGAATCACAACAGTCAGAGACGTAATTGAACATGAATCCTGAGCAGGTCCCGATCTCTCGAAGCCATTACTTCCCCTGGACATAGAAGCAAAGATAAGCCCAAAACGGACAAGTATTCCATAAAAGTCAAGCTAAAAAGAAAACAGGTCCAGGCCCTCTCATACAAATTCATAATTTTCCCATTCAAGCTCATAATTTTAAAAAAATTTACTGGTCTCTTTAATTTTTCTCACTGCAATCAGCTATTATAGTGAACATGTTAATAAAATGTCTGAAATGCTTGGAATGCATAAAAATTCAAAGTATTGGCTACTATTAGGAAGTACTACTAACCAAAATAAATCAAGAACAAATTGCTGATGATATTTAAAGTGTATCAAGTTCTTGAAATTTACTGCAAGAACATTTCATAAATAACACCTATTTTAAGGCCCAAGCCATGTACGTAGACTTTCAGAAGGGCAAGATTTGGAGAAAGAAGGAAGAAAACACACCAAGCATCCACTACATGCTAAGCACAGTGCTAAAAATGCTTTTACTTACATTTTTATTAAAATCAATGTGGATGGGCTTTTGTTTTTAGGATAAAAAGCTTGTTATATTTATTAAATTGTAAATTAACAAAGAAAGCAGTTGAACTATATTCTTACAGAGAAAGCAAATATTGATTCTACTAAAAATAATGCAATTTCCTCAGTGTATTACTTATTTTCCAGGACACAGGTTATAAAGAATAATAATAAACCAGCTAGAGGAAGCCAGAACCTCTGCAATTCTCTCTTCTTACTAAAGGCTGACTGTCCCACCTGGCATCACACTGTCAAGTGCGTTCACTTCAGCCAGGCTGCGATTCTCTCAGGCTCCACAAGCGCCCTCTGTTGGGTCGCATCCCAGCCCAGCTACATCATTATCTCTGAAAATGAAGACACTTTATTTGACTAGCCCCTGTGGCATTTTCCTTTTCTGTAAAATGGTTAAAAAAAAAAAAAAGAAAGCACCTACCTCATATGATCACTTGTGAAGCTCCAATGTATTAACACATGTAAAATAAAAAAATCAGACCAGGGCCTGACCCATATTAAGGACTCAATAAATAACAGCATTCATTAGTCCACTCCTGCTGACCACCTTGATTATTCCTACAGCCTTACATGCTTATGGCCTGGTACACGTCCTTGTCCTTTTCTCTATCCAAATTTTAAAGGTCATTCGAGGCCAAGTTCAAGTCTGAATTCCTCCACTTCCTCAGTAATCTTCATCAGCCTTAATAATCCCTTACTGTAGGTCTTAGAAGCATCTGACATTTGAAGACATCCAATTTAGCATCCTAACATGTGCAGGTGAGACCGCTCACAACCTTCTGAGGCCTAATCGTTATTATCCCAGTTGTATCATAGGGCCTTTCTAAATATGGGTTCACTTCTTTGTATGCTCCAGCAATGGAAAAACATAAAGCTGGATTTCTACCTCATTCTTTTACCCTAAAATTCAAGATGGAACAAAAATATAAATGTAAAAAATGAAACTTTAAATGTCCTAGGGGAAAGAAAAAACAAGAGATGAATATTTTTTTAATTCTAACACAAAGGCTTCTCTAAGCATAACATAAAACCCTGCAGCTGAGAGATATACAATGCAGTAATTCTGACGACAAAAAAGTTTTAAACTTCCATATGGTAAAAATACTATATGCAAAACTCTAAGTCAAAATGCAAACTGGGCAAAGTAATTGTTATACACATCCGCAAGAGCTAACATCCTCCACACACAGGATGATGTCTACTGGACAGCACCGGGCACGCTACTCTGCGGCATCTATACTACTAAGTACTGGCTTTACTGAGGGGGTTCTTCAGAGGTTGGGGCCTGTGGTCCTTCGGGCGCGTGCCCAAATGCCTCTCTGTCATCAGCCTAGAATAATCATCAGTGGGCTGGATACTCTGCATGCCAAATTTTTTTTTTTTAAGAGGGCAGCATCACTGGCCCTCACATGTGGGATCCGAACCAGGGCCCTCTGGCATCCCAAGCCAGTTCTTAACCTTCGCGCCACTCAGCTGGCCCTCTGCATGCCAAATTTTACCCAAGAACTAACCACACAAGTTTTCTAGACATACAAAGATTCAAGTGTTATTCAAAAGGAAATATCTTGAACATCCCACTACAACCAGTTACTTAAAGAACTAAAGCTTGTTTTACCTATTTATAGGCAGAAGAGTTTTTCCATCAATTTTGACCCCATATCCTTGAGAATAAGAGGTAAAAAGGCAGGGTGTGGGGTGAGGGGGAAGAAGAGAAGAACTTGAACTCAGGAGCTCAATGACAATGCATGACATGTAAATCGAGGTGTGCCACTTTACACAGTACATCTTTCATGTCAAGGCGAGAGTGCTTCCCTCTGCTTCTACTGAGTGACTATCAGAGCTTCCTAATTGCCCATACACAGAGGGCCACAGCCAAAGGGCCAGTCAAATGCTGATGAGTGGCACCATCTGGTGTTTGATTTGGAGAACTGCACACAAATGCAGCTACGCTCCAAGGTATGAAAAACAGGCATCTCAGCCTCACCTTGGCTCACACCTCCCTCCATGCTCTGTGACATCTGTCTCCTAGCTAGGTTAAGCTTTATACATAATGGCATTAACTTGAGAATGAAAATTACTTTAAGTTCTTGAAAAGAAAACCCAGTTTTGGGGAAGGAAAGACTGTATTCTACGAGGTCATTTTTCCAGAGTACAGTTCTAGCTAAAAGCCTTACTGTCTTATAAGTAAGTCATCATCCATGCATTCCTCTATTTCTGCTTCAATTTCCAGCCCCACCTGAGTACTTGATTTTTCTGTTGTTTTTGTTTTTAATTTATATGTTATTGAACTGTACTTTATTTGTCCTAAAACAGCCTTTTCAAAGTACCTCCTAGTAACAGTGTTCTCGATTTGGGCTAAAAGAATTACATTCATCATACTTTATTTTCCATTTTAAAATAATGATCGCCAAAAAAAAATAAAAATAAGAATAAAATAAAATAATGATCGCCTCTCAGCTTCCTCTACTAGTAAAGAGAATGTTAAGTTCTCAAAATTCTATCTTTAGTCTAGACTCTAGACCTTTCTTCAGAGCTGCACACTCATTTTTCTAGCTGGTTTTATATATATGTAAGATGAGATTAGTTCAAAGCTCTCCGTGTTAGCCACACATCCTAATCCTCTACTAATGTTACTTTTCCTTCCTTGTCTTGTTTTCACCCACAAACCCCAACTTAGCAAGCAACCATTCACTGAGCAGTGACATTGAGCCGAACGCCAGACTAAGTGCATCACATACATGACCTCACTGAATCTTCACAACCCAGGAAGTCAGGGCCACCAGGATCACTAGTCCTGATGAGAAAAGGGGAAGAAACATGCCCTACCGGAAAATGCGTCTTTTCAATTCTCTCTCGGAAACTTTTCTGCAATCTAAGAGAACCCAACTCCACTGCCACTGCCTCAATCCAAGCCCATCTTTCACTTAAAAAAGGGCTTATCTGCAATCAGTTAATCCAAGGTTTGAATCCCAGCAATGCCACTTCATAACCATGAGAACTCAGAGTCCTTTCCTAACCTCTCTAAATGCTTCCTGTCTGTCTGTAAAGCAAGCATACTGAAACCTATCAAAGCAGGTTCGACAATATGACAGGAAGAAATAATGAATATGCCATGTAACAGGCATCCAATAGTAGCTGTTATTTCAGGGGTCCCCTTGGCTCCACCATGTTTCTTCCTAATCTACCCTCCATAGTTCTTTCTTTTTGTTTTAAAGATTTTTATTGGGGAGTTGGGAAAGGGGAACAAGGTTGGGCAATCAGGGAAGGGGAACAGACAAGTTGCTGTCCTTTTGTTCTTCAGTCTAGTTTTGGAGGATGTTGCTTCACTGGCCTATGTTGGTATTATCACTGTGCTCTTCCCACGTAAGGTAATCGTTCACCGGCCATTGGACGGCTGCTCACGGCGGCTCACGGCAGCTCACGCAAGCTCACGCAGGCTGCCAGCCACTCACGGTAGCTTATGGCAGCCCACTGCAGCCCCACTGCAGCCTACGCCGTCGCCGGCGACTCACGGCAGCCCAGCTCCAGGTTGAGCTGTTGTTCACCATCTTAGCTGTAGAGGGCACAGCATCACTGGCCCTCATGTGGGATCCGAACCGGGGCCCTGCTGCTCAGGGGAGGTGTCTCAAGACAACTCTTAACCAATGCACCACTCGGCCGGCCCCATAGTTCTTTTTTTTAATGCAAATTGGATCACAAATTTTTCAGTGGTTTCCACCATCTGAAACAGTGTTTCTGGGGCCGGCTGAGTGGTACGTTGGTTAAAACAGTGTTTCTGTATGGTAGAGGGCCCCCAGTAGCACGCAAATAGTTTTAGATGTCAGGAAGACAACCTGATTTCATGAGCTAGAGGCTAACCAGCCCCACTGTACCAGCAGAAAAGCATCAAAAAGTGCAATTTTTACAAATTCCATTTACAAGTTATCAAAAAAATTAACACCAAGGACTAAATTTAATGAAAAGGGTACAGAACTCCATAATGAAAACTATTCAACAATGCTAAGAGAAAAATTTTAAGTCATAAATAAATAAATATACCATACTCATGGATCAGAAGTTCAATATTAATGTCAGTTCTCCCAAAATGATCTATGTAGATTCAATGTAATCTCAATGGAGTTTTCTGAGGGAATTTTAAGTTGATTCTACATTTTATATGGAGATGCAAAGGACGTAGAACAGCCAATCTTGGAAAAGGAGAAAGTTGGAAGATTCACACTATCTTATCTGATTTTATAAGGATAGGCAAACGGATCAACGGAACAGATTAGCAAGTCCAGAAACAGACACGCACACAGTGGTCAACTGATTTTTTTTAAAGGTGTCAAGCATTTCCTTGGAGAAAGGAAAGTCTTCAAAAAACAGTGCTGAAAACAACTGAATAACATTCATTCAATATTAAATGGAAAAATAAACTTCTACTCCTATCTCATAGGATACCCCAAACTAATTTGAGGAACATTATAGACTAAACAAAAAATGCCATAAGAAAAACCATAAAACTTCTAAAAGAAACCACTGGAGAAATTTGCGATCTTAGATAAGCAAAGACTTCTCAGAGAGAAGGCAAAAAGCACAAACCTTTAAAAAAATTATAAATCAAGAGTTTATGAAAATTTAAAACTTCTGTTTTTCAAAAGATAGTTAACAAAATGAAAACTAGAGACAGGAGAAAATATTCATAATACGCACCTCTGCCAAAGGACTTGTATAGAGAATATATAAAGAGCTCTTCCATCTCAAGAATAAAAAGACAACACAATTTTTAAAATATGCAAAAATCCCAAAAAGTTACACTGCATGATTCCATTCATGCAATATTTTTGAAATGACAAATTTTTTGAAAGGGAGCTAGATCAGCAAGTGGTTATACCAGGGCAACAGAAGGGATCCTGCGATGATGGAATGCTCAATATTTTGATTGTGGTGGTGAATACATGAAACTCCACATGGGATAAAATTGTCATATAGAAATAAATGTATACACACACAATTAGTAAAACTATCTTTACAAACAAGATCAGTGGATTGTCAATATCAATATTCTAGTTGTGACATTACACTAAATTTTGCAAAATGTTACCATTAAGTAAAGTCTACAGGAGCTCTCTCTGTACTATTTCTAATGACTTCATGGAAATCTACAATTGTCTCAATAAAAATTTCAATTAAAAAAATGGGCAAAAGATTTAAACAGATACTTCACCAAAGAGGATGTACAGATGGCAAATGAGCACATGAAATAAACTGTAATTATTCATAAAATAGAATTCAACTCTCAATAAAGAATGAATTACGGATACACACAGCCACACGGCTGAATTTCAGATATTGTTACATGAAAGAAGCCAGACACAAAAGAATACATACAGTATGAATAAAAACAGTGGTTGCCTATATTGGGGGAGGGGGAGGATTAACTAGAAGTGGTTGGTCCGATGACCCTAATGGGGTAATAGAAATAGTCTATATTTTGACTGGGTTCCTGGTTACAAGTATGGGCGTATACATCTCTCAAAACTCAACCAGTTGAACACTTAGGATCTGTGCATCTTATCGCATGTATAGCTCAATTAAGAAAAACAGTACAGGCAGTACTCAGGTGTGTAAAAATTGTGAAGATGGTATTTGAATGCCTGTTTTGGAGGGAAAGAAAAATCAATGTGTAATATATAAATTCTGAACTGCACAGGATATCATATAAAGACCATCACATCTGGCCCCTGCCTTCCTGGCCAGCCTTATCTTCTGAAGTCTCTACTCAAATATATGCTGAACTGTTACCAAACCAAATGCTTGCAATTCCCTGTTACTTCATGCCTCTACCCAATGCAGGGTATTAATCAGTTAAATACAACCCTTTTCTTGCCCCTAGTGAATTACTACTTGGCTTTCAACACTCGTGACAAACACCCTTTGCCGTCTGTTGTATAGACTTCCTGCCCTTCTGAGTTCCCATTAAAAAAAAAAAATGGGAAACTAAACATTTATTGAATACTTCACATCTGGTGGACACTTGTTACACATTACGGAATAAGAAAGTTGACCAGTGAGTGCCAGTTAATGACTCTTGGTGAGCTGGTGTTATTGGCTACTTGAGAGCTGCAGAGAAACTAAGGTGGAGCAGTTTATCCTGATAGCAATCAGAGGTCAGGCTTCTCATTAACCAGTTGCTCAGCAGTGAAGGGGTGACAGATAGTTCAGAAGATATTCAATTCATATAGAAATATTGTTTGTTTTTTAATAATGATTTTTAAAGAATTATCAATCCTAGGAAAAACACACCTGGCACTAACTCTTCCAGGCAAAGACAAAAAAAAGCAGATACACTTAGCTGTTCCTTTTGGACACTTACCCATATTCTTTCGTGCCCTGCAGTGGAAGTAAACCCTGAAGCTCTACCACAAAGTCCGCATGCAATAAGCAATGAGAAACAGGAATGCTAGAGGAAAAAAATGAAATTTTGTTTTAGGAGGCAAAGACTACAAGACAACATCCTAAAACTAAATCCAAACTCTGGGATTTAAAGTCTATGTATGACCTCTACTGGGTTTGTAAATACCACACTTTATGCCAATGTGCATGCCTCTCGGGAAAGGGTCCATGCCTTTCATCTTTTCCCATTCCCCCCAATAACACATGACAATAAATATATCTTTTTCCTGATCACTCAAAAGTTTAAAACCATACTATTAGGGGCCAGCTAAGTAGCTCAGTTGGTTAAGAGCTCACTCAAGAGTGCAAGCTCTGAGTAACAGGGTCATTGGTTCAATTCCCGGCCTGAGCTGAGCTGCCCACAGGTGGCAGGATGGCTGATAAAAAAACAAAACAAAACAAAAAACACTATACTGTGTTATGCAAGCTCTACATTTTGATACCTACGGAATGATTAAGGCTGGTTGGGAATTTTCCTTTATTAACCTGTTTGCTGTCTGTATTACTCATATACCAACTCTAGCAGTACACTCTACTAATTTGTTCCTGTTTAGCATAAGTTTTTTAACTCTTCTTCCAACTTATTATGAGAGAATTTACATATGACATTTGAGAGTAATCAGATTTGAGTGAAGATCTAAAGTACCCTCACATGACTTGTGGCACTTTTTTATTTTGCTTTTATTCTGGTTACTAGACATACTCCAACTAGATCAAGTTTATCAAATTACAGTTTTCAAGTTAAATATTATACTAGTTTATAGAGCAGCACATTTGCATAAATGGAACTCTATATAAAGGGTATGTTTCTTTTAATGTAAAAATGAGTCTTATGCTATCATTAGTGCTTAATTCCTAAGAATCTAAACAAGCTTCCATGTTTCATGAAACTTCAGCTAAGCAGCTCAGTATAGAAATTAGAAATAAATAGTAAACCCTAACATAATGTTGTTGATAGCTTATTTTTGGTTGGTCTTTTCTATCTTTAGATTTGACTGTTTTACTCAAAATCATTTTGTATTGTATTAAAGTGGAGCCCAGTAATTTCTTTCAAATAAAAAAAAAGAACTTAGAAGTATAAGAAAATATTTTCTCTAAAAACTTTTCTAAATCTTAGTCTTTTACTTGGTTTCAGAGCATAACAAAGACACGAATTATCTAAGTCACCTAGAGAAACATAAGAAGTTAACATACATGTTGAAAAACTACTTTCTTTTCTAGCGTTGATATCCATTATGTGCCTTACAAGATATGGGAAAAAAGTTATTTTTCTCTACACATTTCAGTAGAGCGCAGGAAAAATGTTTAATGATGCAACAGTTCACGAAGAGACTGGACAATTTTCCCATTTTAAAACAGATACTTAATATTTCTGGGTTTCAGCTTTCAACTTTGTAGAACTAGAGTACTGAATCAGATGCCTGACTTTCTTTCAGCGTTAATCCCTCAAGTACCTTGTTTCTTTGGATTATCAATCTCACCATCTCAATGCGGAGAATTCTATTTTTAAAGGGTGCTAATCCTCTGACCATCAGAGTCTTTTAACCTCAACTATTTAAAAACCAGTTCGGCCTAAACTACCTCTATGCCTCTATGTCCTCACTTAAATGGGGTGAGGGTGGGGTGGTAATGCCTGGGCAGAAGGAAGTCCTCAAGTCCAGATAAATGAATAAGAAACCAAGAGCTGGAAAGGACCAGAGGTTCCAGATGTGGCTGATCCTCCACTGCACAGGTCTCGGCGGCCCAAAGAGGGTGACTAACCAGCCTCGGGTCACACAGCAAACAGGAGCGGAGCGTCCCCCGAACACGCCTCGCTGTGCTGAGATTACCAACTACTCTCAGCGGTCCTAGTCCCTGGGACGCCGAGCAGCCGAGAGCCGGCGGCTCCTCCCGGGAGGCCCCGCGCGGTCGCAGGGAATTGTGCCCAGCTCGAGACCTACTCGGTGGCGCGCACGAAGGTGCAGGGGTCCGCCCGGCACACGTAGAAACTCTTTCCTTTATTCGGCCCATCGCGGACTCCGGTCTTCAGAAAGCATAAGGTCCCTGAGGAGATAAGGTAGACGACAATTACGCCGCGCTACATTCACAGACTCCCGGGGGAAACCTAGGGCCCTGAACCCTCACCATGGTCTGGGCACCTAACTGCCTGCATCGCGCTCCTTCTCGCCTCTTCCACCCCGCGCCGCTCCAAAGCCTGCTTCCGCCTTTTAGTCCGGCCTCCTCACTCAGGAACCAATCATCAGGAGTGGTCTTAACTCCCACAATTCACCGCCGTGACCTTAATCCCACCCACTAGCAAATACCAGCCAATCATACGGAAATGTTCGCTCACTTCCAGCCAATCACAACTTGGCGCGCCGAAATCAAATATGAGGCTAGGGGGGTTGGCACCTGGGCTTTTGGCTGGGGGGGGGCGTGGCTGAAGCTGGAGGGAGGTTTAGAGGCTGGAGGGACTTCCGGTGCGAGGGAAGCTTCGCTTTGCAGATCCGTGTCCGTGGAGTGGGGTGCGGGCGACGAGGATTACCCTGGAGGTGGCCGTAGAGTAAGCGCGCGTTACAAACCGCAGAGGGGAGCTCTGCAAAGAAAGCTCCTTTCTCGCAGCGCCCCAAGCTTCCCAGCCATCTCCGAGCCGAGGCCTGGCGCTCGTGGGCACTCTGTCGCTGTGCTCGGTCACTGGGGAGGGAAGGCCTGGAGAAATAGTCACCGGTGGAGAAGCCGCCGAAGTTGCGGCGCTGGAGCGGCGCGAACGAGATGGGGTGCGGGAGAGGGGTAATGGGGTTCTCTAAAGCTGTGCGGTGAACTGACAAGTCTGTCATAGGGCAGGTATCAAGACTTGTCTAGGACCCCACAACAATCCTTTAAATTTGCGTAGAGCTTTAGACTTTACAGAGTGCTGACACGTGCACGTCCCTCTTGACTTGGCAAACTGGTGAGATGAGCAGCGTTTTATGGAGGACCCCGAGAATCACAGAAGTTTGAGTGACTCACCCAAGGTCACAGAATTAGTGAGTGGGCGACCTATGTACAGGGGACCGTGCAGCTGTCACCTATGTGTACTGAATGTTCTCTGGGCACTCGTAGTGTTGGAGCCCTGAATTATAAGTGTCCGAGTGGAAACAACGGGAGAGAAACATTACATTTGGTGAAGGGGAATTTTACTTTGTACCTTTTGTCAAACTTTTTCTACTAGTATGTTCTGGTAATATTAAAAATCAAGGATGAAATTAACAGAAAGGACTATAGTATTTGAAATCATAATCAAATTTATTTAACAAAAGGAAGGAATAGAAATCAGACTTACTGCAATAGAGATGGCTTCATATTACAGCTATTAAGGACCATATGTGCAGACATATGGTGTGGCATGTGCTACTGTACTTATTAGGGACAATAGGACAGAAAATCTAATGTCTAGGAAATCTGGGCTACCTGATAAATGTGAATGTCACAGGGGTCTGGAAGAGGGGAGATAAACCTGAGATAATCATTTATTAATTAAACAAGTACATCTTAAATAGCATTTTGTGTGCCCAGTGGGGACTGACTAGGTGCTTGAGAAATGTAAAATTTATTTATACACACAGTTTATAACAACTATTCTAAACACAAGGAGCTTACTCAACATTTGGAGGAGGCTGAACTAGCACGTTGAACACTTAAATTAACAATATAAAATAGTATTTCAATGTCAAGATGAGTAGAATTAGTAAAATCTGTAGGGCTAAAGATGTGTCTGAAACCAAAGGAGTTAGTTTATATGTAACTACCCCTTTGGAACACCTATAGATAAACTTTTGGAGAGGAGACAGGAGCAAAATAAAGTAAATAAACCAATAGAGGCATTTTTATTATTCCCAGATTATAATTCATGCATGGAGAGATTTTTAGGTACATATTTAATAGATGTTGGGAGAAATAGGCCATGAAAACTGGATTTGCTGTTAGAGGGCTATGGTAATTGAATCATTTCTTGAATAATGTATTTTGGAAACAAGACAAAATCAGGGCCTCTTTATTCCATGCAGGAAAAACCTCTTCCTCTGTAAGTATCCCAGCCAATATCGTGGGGTCCAACCCCACGAAAGTATGTAGAGCCAACTCACAGAAAGGGGGAATATTTCTTCCATAAATTTGGGATATGCTACATCAAAATGTTGAGGCTCTGGACAGCTTATCCTACCTAACCATATTTATATGAGTGAAGACAAATTTGTCACTGGGTGAAAGGTGACCAACCTATCAGTATAAACTATAATGAATTATACAATATACACTTTTCCAAATGTACACATAAATTATGTGTATTAACTTTTATTCTTAACTTCTAGGTTTAATTTATATTCTTAATCAGCCTGCAAACCCATGGAGAGACCTTTGCAGCATGTACTTTATGGAGCTGTAGTTTGAGTTGAGAGTTTGAGTTGGTTTTTCTTTAAAGCTTGATTTATTCAAAATGGATGCCTAGAGCTAGATGGTTTAAATACACAGGCTAATGATCCAATAAATTCTTTCCATATGGGGCTGGTCAAACACAAAGTATGTGATGAAATTGTTCTAAAACTGCATTGTGGTAATGGCTGCACAATTGTATAGATTTACTAAGACTCAGAACTGTTCACTTTAAATAGGTGAAATCTATGGTCTCTAAATTATCCCTCAGTCAAGCTGTTAAAAACAAACCAAATTACAAAACTAATGTCAAAATAGCTACATGCTACATGGAAAATAAGAGCTAAGATTAATCATCTAAGACATTTTGGCATTCTAAGGGAATAAAATGGCTGAAGAAGTAAAATAGTCAAAACTCGTTAGCTTCGGATAATGTAGCGCCTTAAGCAGTCTGGTTCTCTGACTTGTGAAATAAAATTTAGAGTGGATCTAACACTCATTTTAATTCTTGAGAATTATATGTTCTCTGGTCAGCATTGTGCTGGCTGGAATACGTAAACATGTCGGACATCTAGAAAACGTGGGTGGTGAGAGGCTCAGCTAGAACAGTCACCCCTTGATATCCCTGTCACTATCCTGCATTGCTTAAAAATAATCAGCAATGCCAAGTTTCAAATTATTTGTCAAGTTCCAATTTCTATGCAACCTTTACCTTGACTCATTATTTTAAAAATTAAATTGTTCAAATTTGTTTTCCCAATTAGCTGGCAATCTATTTAGTTTTCCAAATTTGTAATCCTCTGGGTTTTGCTCATTGCTTTGGGTAGGATGGGGAGGAGTAAAGAATTTCAAATAGTAGATAAATTATTTTTCCCTATTAGGCACATTATTACTATAAGGAAACATCACTATAGCCTAACTTTTTCTGAGGTGTACTCTGAGGCAAGTGCTTAGCATATGCATTCTTAGTTCACACAACTACCCTGGAAGTGGGTATTCTTTTATCCTCACTTTAAGGAATAAGATACCCAAGTTTAGAGTCATTAGGAACTTGCCCGAAGGTCCTGCTTCTAACCACTTACCTTATACAGAGCCTCTCCTCGGACTTTGGAACCAGATATATTAATCTTTTCTTGGCTCAAAGTCGCAAAGATGACACCAGCAGATAGGGGACTGGAAATATTTTTCGAGATTACCAATCCGGTTCTTGCCACTACAATATTTTTATGAAGCATAAATTATTCACTGATTCAGATATTTAATATATGAATGATATACAGACATGGCTCAACAAATCCAAGATAAAAAACAAACCTACCATTTTATAAATGATCACTAGGTAGCAGCATATTAATGTAAAAACCAAACAGAAGGCCCACTTCTTCTGTGGTTTCATTGTTTTTGCTTAATGATATGTAATGGCGATTCAATTTCATTTCATTTTGTGCCTTACAAATATATGACAATTTTATACTTATCCTTTGACATAGGACAGTAAGGGTGATATTATAGTAAGAACAAATCTAGTTATAATTTGAAAACTCAAGAGAATTTACAAATTCTTTGGTTGTAATGATATTTTGTAGTATTGGGTTCCGAATTTCACTGGTCTTAAAATATTACCCCCAAAATGGTTCAAAGTAAGCCCTCCTCCATGCCTTTATACACACACACACACACACACACACACACACACACACACACATATGCAAGTCAATGCTTTTTTAGTAAATTTACAAAGTTGTATAACCATCACCACAATCCAGTTTTAGATCATTTCCATCACCCCAAAATCTTCCCTCCGGCCTGTGTGTAGTCAGTACCACAGACATGGCTCAATAAATCCAAGAAGAAAGAAAGAAAGAAAAAAAACCAAGGCAACCACTGATCTGCTTCTGTCTTTATAAATTTGCCTTTTCTGGACATTTCCTATAAATGGAGTCATACACTATATAACCTATTGCCACTGTCTTCTGTCACTTAAGACAGTGCTTTTGAGGTTCATCTATGTTATACTCCTTTTTATTGCTAAATAGTATTCCATTGTATCCATTCACCAGTTGATGGAAGTTTGGATTGTTTTCCCTTTGGGGTTATTAAGAATAATGTTATGAATATTAATATAGACATCTTTATGTGGGCATTGGTTTTTGTTCCTCTTGGGTACATCCCTAGGAGTGGAATTGCTGGCCATGTGTTGAGTTTGTCACACTTTTTTAGAAATTGTCCAACTGTTTTCCAAAGTGGCTGTACCACTTTATACTCCCACATTGGTGTATGAATGTTGCTGGTTCTCCACGCCCTCACCAACACTGGTTATTGTCTTTTTTTATTATAGTTATTCTAATGGCTATGAAGTGGTATCTCACTGTGGTTTTAATTCATATTCCTAATGACTACTGATGTTGAGCTCTTTTTCATGTGCTTATTAATCATCACCTTCCTCTTTTTAAATGGTCTTGAAAGGCTTTTTCCTTTAAAGGCTTGTATGGGACTGAAACAAAAACCTAAGTAAAAATGACATTGTTATTAATCCAAGGAGAGCAAAGAAATCATAATGGTTGCATAATGTTAAGGAACAAAATTGCATATATACTATGATTATACTCATGTGAAAAATATTTTTATTTATTTTTTTATTACAAGTTTCAAGTTGAAAAATATTTTTAACCACAACACACTATTACCTTTTAAGACTATCTATGGTATGATTTTATGTATATACCTCTGAGAGGTTGAGGTGGGAGATGGGTGTAGTAATAGTTTTTATTTGCTACACCTCGCATGTATTGCTGTTATGATTTTTAAAA